TGAGAAGCCATACTTCATGGTACTGACTGTATGAGTCTGGACCCTGATTCCTTTCCCTCCCTGTCTTTTCTCCCTAGCACCAAGTTCTACCAGCTACAACTTGGCCCTGTTGGCTCAGGGCTGTGTCCCCAGTGCCTCCGCTCCAGGACATGGATTTTGTCTCTCTTGTTGAAGGGCGGTGACAAGTGGTGCACACATGTGGTACTGTGTTGTCAGCAAGACCTCTGGGGGGAACAAATGTACGCAGGCACTAGCTCATGCCTGAGTCCTTTTGCCTGTCTTCAGGGCCCCCCACTTTACACAGGTGGAGCTGAGTCTGAGGTGGGGGTACTGCCTGTGTTCCTTCCCCCTGACTCTGTGTTTCTGCAGCCACATTCTCAAAGCTGCCCTGCTATCCCCTGCCTCCACACAGCCCCCAGCTTGTATCTGAGGCCTTCCTTCTTTTTGGTCAGCTTGAACCCAGGGCCTGGGTGCTGCCCCTGAGCTTATTTGCTCAAAGCTAGTGATCTGCTATCCTGAGCCACAGCCCCACTTCTGGTTTTTGAGAAGTTAATCAGCGGTAAGAGGCTCATGGACTTACTTGCCCATGCTGGCTTTGAACCATGATCCTCAGATCTCAGCCTCTTGAGTAGCTGAGATTATAAATGCGAGGCACTGGTGCAATACTTGTGACCTTTTAACTTTGTGTTGTGTGCTCTGTGTGTGTGTGTGTGTGTGCGCGCACACGAACGCGCGTGTACTGAGGTTTACACTCATACCCTGGGTTCTTGAGTTGTTCCACTCAAGGCTGGTACTCTACTGTTTGAACCACACCTCTGCTTCCTCTTCCAGCTCTTTGGTGGTTAACTGGAAATAAGGGCCGAGCCTCACAGACTTTCCTGCCCAGGCTGACTTTGAACCATAATCCTCCCATCTCAGGCCTCTAAATAGCTAGGATTACAGGCGTGAGTCACTGGTGCCTGGCTCACTTCGGTGCTTTTAAGGACTTCACTCTTGCAGTTGTCCAAATAGCCCTGTATTTGGGGGTGCAGAAAGAGCAGCCAGGCAAGAAGGCCCACTTCCTGGTCCGCTCCCTCATTCCCTCTCTAAGGGAGCTGATTACAACAGTAGGACAGAAATGGCTGCTTCCACCAGGAAACGGCTAGGCCCGGCTCCCAGGATGCCTGCTGCAGATGACAGAGAACCCACATCTGGGCACACACCGTGCCTCAGGCTGGCAGTGCCCCCACTGTGGTCACTGCAATTCGGGCATGGTAATCCCAACCACAGAAAATTGCTCCAGGATTAAGTGAAATGACAGTGCCTGGTGCACAGCCAGCTGTCTATACATTATTATATAAGTAGAAACTGTTGCAGAGTTCTCCAGGCTTTGTTGTGCGGTAGAGACTAAAAGAATTTCCTTTTGGTTTTTCTTTCCTTTTTTCTTTTTTGTTAAGTTGAGCTGAGAGCTGATCAGTTTCCCCAGGAAAGACTTAGGATGCCTGAATTTTGAAGAGAAGGGTGTATAAACTATAATGCTGTAACATAACCATCCAGTGCTGCAGCGACACGGCCTGCGACCCAGAGGAGGCCCCAATTGATGTCCTGGGCCTGGGCTGGCTGGAATCTGCCTCTAAGCCCTCCTGTGAGAAGAGGAGGGGTGATCCAAGTGGCTGCTAAGCTGGTGGAGGTCTGGCTGTATTATTCAGGTCTGGGGATGGAGGCCACAAGGGGCTCCATGCTTTGGCAGGCCGGGGAGATGGTTGTGGACAGAACCCTGCTTTCTCCAAAGCATCTCACTTGATGGAGACCTTCAGCACACCAGCCAGGGAGGAGAAAATGTAGGTGGCAGTGTGTGATGGGGGAGGGGGTGGCGGGGAAGGGAGGGTAGGTAGGTGCTGCTCACGCCCAAGGCATGCCTTCTCAGGGCCCCATCCATGCTTCCGGGAGCTGGAGGGTCAGGGCCTATTTTTATATCCCTTTGACAGAGAAGGAAGCCGGGCTGGAGAGATTAGGTGTCTTCACTTGTGGCTTCCACAAGCTGGGCCCCCAGAGGCCCAACCTGGGTGATGGTGAAACTCTCAGAACTGGAGAGTGGGAAGGAAAGACTGGCAGGCTAGGAGGACTGGGGGCACCCAGGACCCCTCCTCCCCCCACGGCCACCACAGAGGGGTGCGCCCCTGCGCTGGCGCTAGAAACAGGCAGCACAGAGCTGTGACACGCAGGTTCTTCCACACCCACTTACAGATTTACCTTCCAGAAACTTCACTAGCATGCCCTGAGGGGGTACGTGGCATCAGTGGAGGGCTCAGGGATGGCACTGGGACATGGAGTTTTTTTTTTGTCTTTTTTAAAAATTTTAATTGTGAAAATTCTGTACAGAGGTTTACAATTACATGGGCAAGATAATGAGTACATTTCTTATCAAGCATTGTAGCCTCCTCCTTTGTTTCCCCTTCCCATCCTCCCCCCTCCCCCCCCCACATGGTTTTGGTAATCTGCTTGGCAGCCCTGGACAGCCTAGCCCTGGACAGTGCCCAGTCCCTAAGACCACCTCATGGGCTTTCCAATTTAACTTTGGGATGAATGTGATAGGGTCTGCTACCAGGGCTTGAACTCAGGGACTGACTCTCTCTCTCTCTTTCTCTCTCTCTCTCTTTCTCTCTCTCTCTCCCTCTCTCTCGCTCTCTCTCTCGGCTTTTCCCATTCATAGCTAGCGTTCTACTACTTGAGCCACACCTCAGCTCCCACTTTTATGTTGGCTAACCAGAGATATAAAGACATGTGCACTTTCCTGCTCAGGCTGACTTCAATCTTCAGATCCCGGCCTCCTGAGTGTGATGGCAGGCTCGGCTTGATGGGGTCTGGGAAGGGTGAGCGGGCCTGCCCGCGAGGCCAGTGCTCAGGACGAGACACCCACCACCACGGGGCAGGGAGGGGCCTCTTAGCGGCTCCTCCTCCGTGAGGACCCTCGTGCGTGGGAGTTCCAGTTGGGGGATCCTTGTTCGGGTCCACATTCTGCTGCCCCAACTGTCTCCGGCCCTATGTCTTGCACACTCAAAATCAAGGCTCTCTCTAGCCAGCGCCTTTTCAGGAGGAGCAGCAGCAAGGAAGGCCTGCAGAAGTTTTGGCTTTTCCAGCAAAAACCCAGAACCTTGACGGCCCTTCACCTCCTTGAGCCTCAGTCTCCCCACCGGTCAGCGGGGCTCAAAACACCTGCTCCCGGACGGGTGTGTGTGGGAGCAGGGGGCGGTGTGACCGGCGCTGGCGCTCGCTCCCCGGGGCACCTTCCCGCGGGAGGCCGAGCCCCGGCGCCACCCGGGGCCGGGGAAGTCGAGGCTTGCAGGGGGCGGGTTCGGCGGGCACGGAGGCGAGGCTAGCTCGGTCTGGGACGTTTTTATCGGGGTCTAACGAACACAGCGCGGACCCACTCGTTACGAAGCCGGATACGGACGGACTTCACGGATTCACCCCAGTTGTCTTCACCCCAAACGAGATCCCAAACCGGGTCCACTTTCAAAAGCCAGCACAGCAGCGGGGGTAGGGGGGTGTTGGTCGTCAGGGCCCGACGTGTCCCGGGCCCGTCCCACCGGGCACCGGGGCGGCCCGGACCCGGCGAAGGACGCCCCGCGCGCCTGGCCCGCGCTGGTGCTTGGAGCGCCCGAGCCGGGCTTCGCGCCGCCCAGCCCGCCCGGGGCGGCGGGCGAGGGAGGGGCGAGGCCCGGCTCCGCCCGGCTCCGCCCCGCAGGCCCGCCCCGCGCGCGCCCCCGCCCGGCTAATTAGGCGCGCGGTTTGTTTACAAACACGGACTGCGGGCAGGTGCGCGCCGCCCGGCTCGCGTGCGGCCGGGGTTCGAGGGCGGCTCCCGCGAACTCGCGGGTCCCCGGGTGCGGATCGTGCCTGCGCTCCCGCCTTTTTTTCCGCGCCTCCCCAAACGCCTGGAAAGTCGCCAGCCGCGGCACGCGCGTCCCGCCTGCGCGGAGGAGAGCGCAGCGCCGGGTCGCGCGCGAGGGGCGGCCGCCGGGGGCTCTCCGTGGGGCAGGGGCGGGGGTGCGCCCCGCCTCCTCCCCCGCGCCCTTCCCCCCCCCCCCGGCCCCGCGCGCCACCCCCGGGCCGGGCCCGCTCGCGGCCGGGTCGGCGGGGCGGGCGGCCGGGGGCGCGCGGGGCGGGGCGCGGCGCCGGCGGGGCCGGGACATGTAGTCCGCGCGCGCCTCGGCCTCCCCTGGGCGGCCCCGGCGCGGACTACGACTCCCGCCAGGCGCCGCGGCGCAGCGCATGAGCCCTGCTCGGCTCCGGCGCGTCTATTATGCTGCCGGGGCCGGCGAGCCAAAGAGGAGCCGGCCGCGCGGGCCGGGAGGGGACGGCGCCGGAGCCGCCGAGGCCAAGTACGCCTTTCTCTCGCTTCTTCGCGCGCGCGGGCGGTGGGCGGCGGCGGCGGTGGGCCGGGCCGGGCCGGGGGGGCGGCGGCCGCGGGCGCCCCCGTGCAGCCCCTCGGCACGGTCGGGGAGCCGGGCGCCTGGGGCCGCCGCCGCTCGCCCGCCCGCCGCCTTTGTGCGCGGCCGCGGTGCAACAAAGCGCGGCGGCCGCCCGGGGTCGCGGCGGCGGCGGGGGGCGGCGCGGGCTCGGTCTCCCTCCGCCCCGCGCCCGCGCCGTCCCGGCCGCCTCGGCCGGGGCTCGGGGGCGTCGCCTCGGCTGGGGCGCGCAGCCCGGACTTGGCACGATCCGCGCGCCCCGCGCCAGCTCGGCCTCCACACGCCCTCCCTGACGGAAGGGATTTTTTTCCCCCCCTTTCCTTTGCCCGCCATCTTCGGAAGGGGACAGCCCGGGAGGACGCGGCGGGGGAGGTGCGCGCGGCGTGCCCGGGCCGCGGCCGTGCGCTCCGGCGCCGCTCTCCCCGCGCCCGCCTGGGATCGTCGCGGCCCTGGCGGGGTGGCAGGGCCGGGCCCGGGCACGCCGCGCGGGCTCCCCCGGCAGGGGCGGCGGCGGCCGCCTCCGGACTTACGGCCCCGGAGCCGACTTTGCGCCCCGGCGAGCTGCTGGATTAGAACTGCAGCCAGGCCAGGAGGAGACCCAGTTCCCGTTTTGAAATCAACCCGAAGAGCGCTTAACCCCGGCGAGGTGGAGTTGGCGCGGGGAGGGGGGGCTCCCTCCTTCCCTCTGGGGTGGGCACCGGCCCGGTTGCGCGGTGCCAGTGCGGCCCGGGGAGGAATGCGCAGCCCAGACCGTCCGGTTACGTGGTCCTGGGCGCGTGTGGATAAAGCTGGGGGCTTGGGGAACCAGCTCTCCACCCCGACCCCGTCCCCACCGGTGGCTGTGACGCGGGCAGGGCCGCCGTGGAGGCCGTGGGCGCCTCCTTCGCCCTCGGGGCCGGGGGCTCCGTGGAGACCCACCTTGTCTACTGTAAGTTCCGTGTCTGCCGTCCTGGATTTTAGTTGTGACCTCCCCGCTCGCAAGTGCGGAGCTGGCGTTTTTGCTCCTCACCTTAAACTTGGTCATTGTCTGCAGAAGTTGGTGGGGTGGGGGTGCATCGCTGGGCCCACGTCGTTAGCGAAGAATCACCGGACTCCGACCGCGGCCCGCCCCTTCCCTCGCCCCTTCCCCGGTGAGCCGCTTCGTTTTCTTTCTTGCCTGTGGCGTTGCAGACCTCGAGCTCTTTAAAATGGAGATTCATTCTGGATCAATGGGGGTGCCCCTGGGGAGATCCTGAAACCTCCCGGAGGCTTGGCCGTGTTTTGGGAGCCTTTCAGACTGCCTTTCCACAGCCCCAGCAAAGGCCCGAAGTTGGGGCCTCTATTTGCAAATAAAGGTCCTTGTTTGTCCTCTTCCAGCTCCGGCCTGGTGTGCCTGGTGTGCGGGTGGTTACTGACCAGGAGAGATAAGGCACGGGAGGTTGTGGGGAAGCTCTTCTTTCTGACCTTGCTGGGGACCTCAGGGCCCAGTGCCCGTGCTGGGAACCGTCCCAGCTGCCTTGGAGATCCAGTCCTAGCCCCACACTGCAAGTCCGGGGAGGAGGATCCTAAAAGTTTTCTCAACTTGGATAGTTAGCCCAAGTCTGGTTTTTGTTTTACTTTAAGAAAGTAAAGTAATTGCCTTTCTTGCTTGGGGCCGTAGCCTGCTTGGGAGAAGAGCTTTGAGTCGTGGAGGAGTTTGTAAACACCTCCCCCCCACCCCAAAAGGCGGTCTTCCCAGAAAGTGAAAGCTGGCCGAGTGGGAAGGGAGGGGCCAGGCCTGCCTTTGCCTCTGCCAGGGGTCCCATCCGCCAGCGCCAGCCCACTGGGCCGGGGCCTCGCAGGGTCGCCCTGTCCACTTCCTGGTTTACAGTGGCACAGCCTGGGGTGGGGGATGGTAGCTCAGGGCCACCAAGTGGAATGGTTGGTACAAGACTGTAGCAGTGAGGTGTCCCACTGTTGGGTGGGGAATCTGCGCGCTGGGGGCATGTCGGGAGCTCGTGGCCCCCACCTTGCTGCAGCTGGAAGAACTTGCCCGCAGCCACTCGTCGGGCCTTACCTATTCAGAAACAGTTGGCAGGGTGCAGGCAGATCCCAGCTGCCTTGCCAAGAAGCTGAAATCTGGCTGAGGCCTTTCCTTACTGTTCACTAGTGGCAGAGAACACTCTCCCCAGGGGGAGAAGCTTGGAGCTTGTGAGTCCCGGACAACTTGGGTCTCTCCTACCCACGGCTCTGCAGAAGAGATAGTGTCTGGGTGTCGGGGTGTTTGTGCCAGGGGCTGCCTGCCTCCACCTTGTGTTTTCATGGCTACTGCTACCCACTGGGGTGCCCAGCCATCTCAGGTGCCTGGCAGTCCTACTTGGGGTGGCAAACTCTTTTGGGTGGTGGCTCAGGGTTTCTCCCGGTGAGTGTAGACCCAGTTCCTGTGGACCTTTGCCCACACAACTGTGTGTGTGTGTGTGTGTGTGTGGCCAGGGCCTCGTGGTTTTAGCATTTGTGGCCATCTCGGGAGGGGTCAGTTCTTCGTGGGCCTCTTCTGTGTGGCCGCGAGAGCCTTGGCTTGGAGGTGCACTTTTCCCTGTCAGGCCTGGGGTCCTGCAGAGTCTTTGCTAAGCGTTGGGCAATGTCACAGGCACAAGTGGCCCGGTCGGGTGTGGAAGTTGGGTTTGAAGTTGGCTTTCCTGACCAGTGTCCTGGCATTTCTGCAGGCCACGCTGAGTGGCCTGTAGAGAAGGAGACTGTCCAGCCTGGAGTCTGGGGTGTAGGGACCCTGCGTGCCCCTGTGCTGAGGTGTCGAGGGCCCTGGGGGGGCATCCTGAGCTTCCTTGGGGCTGTGCTTTTCTGCACATGGTACTGACTCAGATGTGGTCACAGTAGCTGCTGCCCTCAAGGGGTGGAGAAGTGTGGCCCGGTGATCTGGGTCTAGGGGTGGAGTGGGGTGCCCAGCTGCCCACTGACCGCTGGCACCACCAAGCAAAGACCCAGGATGTCCACCAGGTTCTTGCCAGGGCCAGCCCTGTACAGGGTCAGGTGTGGAGGGTTGGATCTAGGGAAGGCACTGCCCTTGCTGTGCTCAGATTCTCAGTTCTGGCCATGCCCGAGGCCTGTCCTAGTGGCATCATCTACCTCTGCACAGCGGGACAAGGCAAGGAGTGACCCTGGGCTCCTGGCCCTGCCGTGTACCCGCGGCTGTGCTTACCCTTGCCTTTCTCAGCCCCCCTCTCTTCTGCTCTGTGGGTAGGGACTGGCTTCTCAGGGCCAGGAGGAGGAGGAGGGCAGGGCCTAGGTGAGACAGTTTTAGGTAGATGGCTGGTCAGGGTGGCAGCTTCTCTCGATCTTGGCTGACACCTGTCTGGAGTGGCGAATGGGAAGGTGAGCAGGCTGAGCAGCTTGGTTTTCACTGGGGTTGTCAGCTTGCCAAAGAAGAGAGTGATGCGGTGACCCAGCAGGATGCTGGGTCTGCCTTGCCACCCAGAGCTGCTCCCTAGGTCACTCAGGGTCACCAGTGAGGTTGCTCGACTGGACCTCTCCCATAAGTGTGTACCTGTGCTTGCCTACCCCCTCCCCATGGCTTCTTTTCAGGGATATATTGGCTCTCCCTCTTCAACACCCCTCACATGTGGCTCAGCCTCACCATCCACCCCCCCCCCCCCGCCCGTTTCCGTGCCAGGACACTTTCCCACAGCGTGGACGCTCAACTTCCCATCGAAACGAAACAGCTGGCCCGGCCCTGGCTCTCCAGCGCCCTGCTCTGTCCCCTTTGGAAGAATCAGGGGTGTGGAACCAGCATCTTCAGTCTTTTACATGCTCCCTCTTCCTGTTTGCTTGCCTTGGTGGTTAGACCCTCACAGGGCCTGGGGCAGGGGATCCTTCACTGTCCTGCTGTGGAGGTTGGAGCTGGGGAGGACTGGCCTCCCTCAGTGTTGTGCTGGGTGGGAGGAGCAGGCCTGAGGAAAACCTGGGGAAGTGCAGAGACCCTTAGGCCGTGCAGAGCAGAGGCCACAGAATCAGCTGTTCTGAGTGTCTGTGCACCAGTGTGGGATGGGTTTGCTGGCCAGCGCCAAGGGTCCCCTGCCAGGCGGGACCAGGCAGCTGTTGGTGGCAGGTGTGATCTGACTATAGTGTGCATGGGGTGCTGGCTGGGGGGCCATCCTGCAGCAAAGGCCAGGCATTGCCTGCCCAGGAGTCCCACCCAGGCTGCCTGTCTGTCCTGCTCGGGGACTGAAGAGAGCTGTCGCTTCCCCCCCCCCCCCCCCCCCAGCCCTTGGTCATCCTGGTCTCACAGAAGGAAGCAGGTGGCTCTGTCTGTCACTAAGGCCTGCTCTGACAGTGGAATCCAGTTCCCAGGGTCTGGAGGGCTGGGCTCCGAATGCCACTGCCAGGGTTCTTAGCTACTGGGTTCTGGGGCTGAGGCTGGCAGCCTATGGCACCCTGGGAGAATTCTGAGGGTGGGGTGTGGAGCCGATGGCCCTGCGCAAGCTTGGCTCCCACTCTTCTTGCGTCTTGTACCTCTTCTCCTTTGAGCTGCCCCTTACCCGCCCAGAAGGGGGAGCGCATGTGACGCCCTGCCCTAGCATGGCAGTGAGACGGAGGGGTGGGGTGTAGCAGTGTAGCTACCCGGGACCCAGGGACTGTGGGGGAGATACCCCAGCTAAGGAGGACCTGTCAGCAGGAGAGGAGGGTGTGGAGACCCCCGCTGACTCAGTCCTTGAGATACGAAAGGAGCCAGCCCCTGCCTGTCTCTTGGAAAGCTGTCTTGAGGCTGGTGGGGCAGTGGATCTGAGCAGATTGAGAGACAGGGAAGTGGCGTTGTGGCTCAAAGTGGTAAAGCTCCAGCCTTGAGAGAGAGAGATCAGAGACAGTGCCCAGGCCCGGAGTTCAAGCCCCATGACTGACAAAAAATACCTCCCCCCCCAAAAAAAAAATTGGGAATGTGGCTTAGTAGTAGAGTGCTTGCCTAGCATGCGGGAGGCCCTGGGTTCAATTCCTCATTACCACATTCAAAAAAAAAGAAAGAGGCTAGCTTGGGGCCTAGGCTGTCTTGGGTGCCTGAGTCCCGTGAAGCCCTGTCTCCCTGCCTGTGTGCCCAGCCTGCCTTGCTGTCCGCTGTGCGTCCTGTTGCTCCCAGATGGGCCCGGACCACCTTCCATGGACACTCAGGAAGCCTTGTGATGTCCCTGCCCCTTGCTGTCCCTCCCCAACCTGCAGTTAGGGTTCCCCGACAGGCCTCCATCTTGGCTTCTGCTGAAAGTGGGGGCTTTGTCTCCCCAGGTACCATGCTTCCCAAAGCAGGAGACCAGGCTTGAAATTCCCACACAGCCTGGATCTGGCGCAGGGCCTGCTCTGTGGAGAGGCTCCCTGTCTTAGTGGACTTCGGGGCTGGCTCTTCGCCAAGCTGGGTGCTGGGCTTCAGTACCAGCCGTTGGGTTGCGGCTACCCAGGGCTCCAACAGGCTTTGTGGGGGATGTGGGGCAAGCTGAGCCCTGGAGCTTGTGGAGATGGCCTGTCCAAGGCCACGCTGCAAGGTGGGAGTTTTGGCAGGGACAGGCCCTCTGTCCAGTGTGGTTTGTCGCGGGGTTGCCCCTCCAGAACTGGTGTGAGGATGGGGTGTGACTGGCTGGGGGCGTGTCACTGCACCCAGTGTTGGGGCATGAGTCTGCCACCCCCCTCCCCATCGCCCTCCGTGCAGCTCCGGGGTCTCCCACACCGTCTGACCTGGGCTTTCACTTGTGTCCAGGCTTGTGGTGCGCCTGAGTTTCCGGGTAGTTTCATACCCTCTTGAAGGCCGCTGCCCCTTCACCGAGTTTCACTCGCATGTGCTGGGAGGCCAGCTGCCGAGTAGAAGACCCGGGCACTATGGGCCTCCGTTTCCACCCCAGCCATGACATGGGCTCCATTCTTGCTCTGCTGTACTTATCTAGGGCTCAACCAAGTGCCAATCCACGTGTGGCCCCCAGGCCTGTCCCCAAGGCACTCGGCTTCTCGCCCTGGTTTGCTGAGGGCGAGGTTGGGTGAGCTGGTGGATCGGAGGGTGTCCTGCTCGAGGGCCACCTGGAGTTAGGAAACTTTTCAGCCCCACCAGCAACCATGTCTGCTCCAGACAAGGGAGCAGACCCTCCCCACCGTGCACCCCTGGGGCAGGAGGGACTTGATGACCTGCAGATGTGTGTCTTGTGCTTGGACTTGAAAAGGATGGGGTCTCTGGCGCCCTGCTGCTCCCTCTCTGTCCTGGCCACTCCACCAGGGTCCAGCATCTGGTCTTGTGTCACAGGTCTGGAGGTGAGGAGGATTTCAGGTGGAGACATGTGGCAGAGTGCAGTGTGGAGCGCAGGTGCCGGCCTCCGAGGGCAGCTTCCCTCTCCTGTGTCTGACCCACATACTCGTCTTCTGCCCCTCCACTCCATGTCCACAAACTCCAGACGTGCTCGGTTCCTAGAACGCGCACTATGAACCCGAAACACAGGACTTGTGAAGGTCTTTCCTGCAGCACAGCTATCCCCAGAGCAAAAGGTGATGTCAGCACTCTCCATGTGTTCAGTGAGCATTTCCAGCAAACAGCCAGAGGCCCTTGCCCCTCCCCCCAGCCCACCCCTCGCTGCCCGCAGGCCTCTTTCCAGGGCTACCAAATGGGGCCGTCCTGGCCACACACCCCCTTCCAGGGGTGCAGAGACCTCAGTGAGGTGGCCTCAGGGCTCTGGCTCCTGCCCCTGCCCCTGCCCCTGCCCGGTGGCCTCAGGGCCACTGCCCCGCACCTTGGAAGGCGAGATGTGTTTTCCCAGTTCTTTGCAGCACACAGAAGGCCGTCCTCACTCTGCCTGCTTGTCCCTGAAGACGAGCCAGTTTGAGATGCTACTTCAGACCCGCGGGTGGAGGTCTGTGGCGGGACCTCTCTCTCTCTCTCTCTCTCTCTCTCTCTCTCTCTCTCTCTGGGGGGGGTCAGTCGTGGGGCTTGAACTCTGGCTCTGGGCACTGTCCCTCAACTCTTCAGCTCAAGGCAAGCGCTCTACCACTGGAGCCACAGCACCACTTCTGATTTTCTGGTGGTTCACTAGAGATAAGAGTCTCGTGGACTTTCCTGCCCAGGCTAGCCTTGAACTGCAATCCTCAGATCTCAGCCTTCTGAGTAGGTGACAGCATGAGCCACTGGCGCCTGGCATAGGGGAATCTTCTCTTGAGGAATACCAGGCTTTCTGCTTTGGCCTGAGTGTTGATGATTGATAGCTGGTCTGAGTGCCCCCCTCCCCCAGGGTTCTGGAAGGGACCTTGCAGCTGGCTCTTTCCCAGGCTGCCCTTGTGTCCTCTTCATTACCTTACTGGGGTCCTCTCACTCTACGGTTCCCTGTTCAAGGAGCCTGGACTGGGGAGACATGAGGCTCTCGGCCTGAGCTCTGCCCCATCCCTGTCTTCCCACTCTCCCAGCATGGCCAGAGGTAAGGGCACTGGGGAGGGTCCAAGCCGGCTGGCTCACATGCATGCCGGCGAGGAGAGGGGCTTGCACGGGGCATGGTCTTTTTCTTTTTCTTTCTTTTTTCCTTTTTTCTTTTTTTTGTCAGTCGTGGGGCCTGAACTCTGGGTCTGGGCGCTGTCCCTCAGCTCTTCAGCTCAAGGCTAGCGCTCTACCACTTGAGCCACAGCGCCACTTCCAGCTTTTTCTGCTTATGTGGTGCTAAGGAATGGAACCCAGGGCTCAGGCATGTGAGACAAGCACTCTGCCACTGAGCCACCTTCCCAGCCCCACCTGGTGTTTTTCTCCATGTAGGGGAGACCAGGAGGGTCACACCTGCCAGGAAAGCACCATGCTGGCAAGGAGTGAATGTCCTGTGTGCCCTGTCACCCCCCCCCCTCCCCCCCCCCCCCCCTCCCGTCACCTGAGGCTACTGTAGGGGTGGAGTTAGGGTTCCACTGCAAACCCTTGTCTTGTGCTGTGATCTGTTTTAGCTTCCCTGGGGAAGGCACCAAGACTTGTCTATCTTGTGCCCACATTGCCTGGTTTGTTCTGTGCTGTTCTGGTCGGTGGCAGGTTATGGTGCCTTGTGGCTCAAGGTCAGGCCAGGCTTTTGGTGGGGGCGTCTGCTCCCCAGACTTCCACTCTGAGGTGCTGTGCAGATGATTGCCTCAGCTCTTCCTTCTCTCTGCTGCCCTCCCCGCTGGCCCTGGGCAGCTCGGCTCTCCCACCAGAGAAGGGGCCTCCTGAGCGCTCACCCCACCTCTGGTCTCTGCCCGCGCCTTCCAAGGTGGAGGTTCTGGGTGTAAGGGGCCTCTACTGGGGAGGGTCGTGGTTCTGGGGTGCAAGGGACCTCTACGGGGTGGGGGAGGGTCGTGGTCACCTTGGTCTACAGCCTTAGACTGTCTCCAGTGTCCTCACCTCTGACCAGTTTCAGCCCTGAGTCCCTGGATCCTTGCAAGCTCGCTGTGCTGGAGGGCAGAGGGACACACGCAGGAGGGCCTCCCCTCCTGGTCACAGTGGGCTGTGTGGCATGGCCCGTGGGAAGCCGAGGGGCAGGCTTTGGGCTGAGCTCACCATCCACTCTAGCCTAGGATTGCTCAGAGTCCCCGTGGGGAGTTCTAGAAGGTTCCAAGAGGCCTGGGCAGGGGGGAAGTCAGCCATCCACTAACTCCTGAAGAAGGGTGGGGCCCAGGCCCTCTAGGGGCTGTGTGCAGTGTAGAGTCAGGAGGAGCCCTGGAGGATTTGGGGCCTAGAAGAGATTTGATGGGGCACGTTAACAGGACCTGGGCCGCTGTCCAGGGCTGTGCTGTCCTGGGGTTCCTGTGAGATGGGGTGGCCGGGGAAGGTACTGCTGGGCAGGATTGCTGGCCTGGCAGGGCTGGGACTGGAAAGAGGTCCCATGAATGACAGCCGCCTGGTGTCCATGTGGCCTTTGGCCTGGAGAGGAGGCGGCGGCCCCATGGCTATTGGCTGCCCGGGGGGCCCTGCACTCTGGGTGGAGGGGGAGAAGCAGACTTTAGGCACTTGGGGAGCTGCAGTCCAGTCCACATGGGGTCCCCGGTGCACGAGTGCTACTGAGGTGGGGCAGGCAGGCAGGGTGCTTGTCTGCTGTGACTTGGCGGTATGGGTTTGGAGACCCTTTCTGCGCTGGGCTGGGCTAAGCTGGGCAGAAGCAAACCTCCAGAGACCAGGTGCTAACAAGTGTTTTAACATCCAGCTTTCTGGAGGTTCTGGAAGAGCCCGTGACTTAGGGCATTGGTCAACTTCTGGGGTACACATATGCCCACCCCTTCAGATTACAGGGCCCACACGGTAACAACCAGCCCACAAAACGCTTCAGTCTTACGCGTGGCTAGAGACAGTGGCCAGTAGCAGCCGCTCCCTCTCTGGAAGCTGTCTTGCGCCCCCCAAATACTGTAAATACAAGCACAGGAAAGCCCAGATGACGTCCACCAATGAAGTGCAGTCCTTGGCTGCCCTCGAGATGGCCCCTGTGTGTAGCGTGCAGTTAGTTCCAGGTCTCTGAGCAGAAATGGGATCACAGTGCACATGCTGCTGCCCAGCTGCCTGCACAGGAGAGGGAGGGCTTTGAATGTAGCGGTAGCCTGCACAGTACTCAGATACACAGTATCCCATTGCACAGTGTCCCGATCGCCTAGTACTCCTGCTGCTCGGCACCCTCTTGCTCGACATTCCTGTTGCATAGTACTCCCACTGCACAGTACCTTTTGTGTATAGTACCTGTGTTGCACAGTACTCCTCTATCATGCACAGTACTCCTGCCACATAGTGTCCCTGCTTTCACAGTGGTCCTGGCTTTGCTGGGGTTTGCTGGGCTGCCATGGCTGTGTATATAAGTGTTCCTGGCAGCCAGGCCGAGGTCTGGTGTCTGCACGGGTCTCTTGTTCACTGAGTGCACAGGCAACAGCCTGTTGGTCACAGTGGCCCTCTCTCCCCATCCTGGTTGGCTGGAGGCCAGGCATGTCACAGCCAGCCGCCATCACAAACCCCAGCTTGTTCTCCTGGTTACTTTAGAACCTGGCGCCGTGTGCCACTCAAGAGGCCCCAGCTCCCCGTGCCGGATGCAGGTCTGCGAACCTCTGGGTTGCTGCTGGCCTGGCCCGCCCCAGTTGTGGTAGTTTGCTGTACTTGAATTGTTCCACAAAACATCGCCACAACCAGGAACAGTGTGGAAAGTCCTGGAGGAGCAAGCTGGCACCAACAAGTGAGGGCCTGGGGGGCAGTAGCCAAGGGCAGCCAAGTCCTCTGTGCATTCGCCTTCCACCACTGGCTCTGTGTCCCCCACCCCACATCCCAGCCTGGAAGCCGGCCACACCTGCCTGCTGCGCTCAGCCACTGTCCAGCCCTCTTCCAACCCCATGCCAAGGCGAGCAGAGGTTGGGGCTGCTCTGTGACAGGTTTAGCACTCGTCAGGGCAGGCAGGAAGGGGGGGCGGGTGCAGCGTGACGGTTGCTCTCTGCCCTCTTCATCTCCTAAAGGTGCTGCTGTTTGGTTCGGCCCAGAGATGGGATGCCAAGCCTCCTCAGGGAGCACTGCAGATGCAAAGGCCTCGCTGAGCCACTGCCGTGAGGGCAAGTAAGCGAGCTGCCAGAGGATGTCCACGACCACAGCGGTTGCCCCTGCGGGGATCCCGGCCGCCCCGGGCCCTGTGAACCCACCCCCACCCGAGGTCTCCAACCCCAGCAAGCCAGGCCGCAAGACCAACCAGCTGCAGTACATGCAGAACGTGGTGGTGAAGACGCTGTGGAAGCACCAGTTCGCCTGGCCCTTCTACCAGCCCGTGGACGCCATCAAGCTGAACCTGCCCGTGAGCTGCACGCCCCCACCCTCTGGGCCCCACGCCTAGGCAAAGGCAGCTGCCCACCCACCGTGAAGTTGGGTGACAGCCGTAGCCCCTCCCGATACCCCCCAGAAGCAGGGAAAAAGGGTGGAAGCAGAGGCCCACCCAAGTTTTTATTCCATGGAACTAGGAGCTGTGCATCAGCCTGCCCGTCATGCCCACTGGCAGTCAGATGCCGTGTGTGTATGAAACTAATGCCTACTTAATTTTGATCTGAACCCGACAGAGAAAACCTTAAGAGTTGAAAGTAGACTAGCACTTGGTGGCTAGAGTCTAGGCCCAGTTTGATCCCTCCCTCTTTGTGAGTTTCAAATCCCTAGAAGATGGTGGACTCAGTCTCAAGGGTCTGCCCGGTGTCAGAGGTGAGAGAAAAATTTGGCAAGTGTTTGGAACTGAGCTAGGCGCCAGTGGTTCATGCCTCTCATCCTAGCTACCCAGGAGGCAGAGATCTGAGGATTAAGGGTCGATGCCAGACAAAGCATCTCCAATTGCTTCTCTCCAATTAACCACCAAACAGCTGGAAGTAAAGCTGTAGCTTAAGTGGTAGAGTGCTAGCTAGCCTTGAGTGAGAAAGCCCAGGGACCATGCTTAGGTCCTGAGTTCAAGCCCCAGAATTGTGACCAAAAGAGAGTGTGGAGCTGAGCACTACCCAGACCATGTGCCCGCCCCCTGCCCCCGGCTCAGTGACAGCTGACTTGGAGAACCTAGCTATGCCTGATTGCTGTGCTTGGAAGCAATTATACTGCATCACTCAGTAATACCTCTGAAAAAAAAAAACTCTCTCCTAGGATTATCATAAAATAATAAAAAACCCGATGGATATGGGGACAATTAAGAAGAGACTAGAGAATAATTATTACTGGAGTGCGAGTGAATGTATGCAGGACTTCAACACCATGTTTACAAATTGTTACATTTATAACAAGGTGAGTGTGTGGCCCTGGTGGCCACTGTGGGAACCATTAGGGAACTGGGCAACTTGGTTTCCTGGGTGGCCTGGTCCGTGGTGCATGGGTGGGGTATTCCACAGCAGCTCTGGGGCTCAAAGCACATTACACACACCCTGGTCTTGCAGCCGCCTCTGCTTGTGGTCCACACTTTCCCAGATGGCCTTGCTTAGATGAGATGGTAAAGAAGGCTGACACGGCCTGTGGGTTTTTGAGATGTGATCCTACCTCAAACGGGATTTTGTCTGAAAAGTGGTGACTTGAGTGAACGAAAGTGACAGAATGAAGGCTGCTTTGTGTCTTGTTTTTTGTCGGTTGTGGGTCTTGAACTCAGGCTGGGCGCTGTCCCTCAGCTCTTCAGCTCAACGGGAGGCCTCTACCACTTGAGCCATAGTGCTACTTTCACTTTTCTGGTGGTTCATTGGAGATGAGTCCCATGGAGGGGGCTGGGAAGGTGGCTCAGTGGTAGAGTGCTTGCCTTGCATGCATGAGGCCCTAGGTTCGATTCCTTAGCACCACATAAGCCGAAAAAGCTGGAAGTGGCACTGTAGCTCAAGTGGTACTTCAGCTAGCTGAAGAGCTGAGGGATAGCACTCAGGCCCAGAGTTTAGGCCTCACAACTGACCAAAAAAAAAAAGTGTCTCATGGACTTTTTTCTGACTTTCCTGCCTAGGCTGGCTTTGAACCATGATCCTCAGATCTCAGCCTCCTGATTAGCCAGGATTATAGGTGTGAGCCACCGCTGCCCAGCCAAAGGCTGCTTTTTAATTTTGTATGTTCCAAGATTTTCCACAATGAAATGGACTCATCCTTCCATGCCAAGTCTCTTAACAAAATCTTTTTTTGGGGGAGGGGGTCCAGTCCTGGGGCCTGAACTCTGGGCCTGGGCGCTGTCCCTCAGCTCTTCAGCTCAAGGCTAGCCCTCTACCACTTGAGCCACAGTGCCACTTCCGGCTTTTTTCTTTTTGCTTATGTGGTACTGAGGAATTGAACCCAGGGCCTCATGCATGCAAGCATTCTACCACTGAGCTACCTTCCCAGCCCCTCTTTTAACAAATTTTAAGTAAAAAAAAATTTTTTTTTTGGTTGTGGGGCTTGAACTCTGGGCCTGGGCGCTGTCCCTCAGCACTCTACCACTTCAGCCACAGCACCACTCCTGGCTTTTACTGCTTATGTGGTGCTGAGGAATCTAATGCAGGGCCTCATGCATGGGAGGCAAGCGCTCTACCACTGAGCCACCTTCCCAGCCCAGTAAATGTTTTCTTGAGCTACACCCCACCATGTCCTTTGCAAGTATGTAGCTTTCTTCCCAGCAAGTGACTGGGGCTCTCTGTCTTCAGCCCACAGATGACATAGTGCTAATGGCCCAGGCCTTAGAGAAAATCTTTCTGCAGAAAGTGGCCCAGATGCCCCAGGAAGAAGTGGAATTGTTACCCCCTGCTCCAAAAGGCAAAGGCCGGAAGCCGGCTGCAGGAGCCCAGAGTACAGGTGAGCAGCATGGGGCATTCTCCACTGTGGCACACAGTGGTGGGCACAAGACCCTTGGCCGCTCTAGGCTGTGTTCGGGGTAGGTATGACGGGCTTGAGGGTGCCAGGTCTTGGTTGACCTGAGGCCGGGTGGGTGTTGATGTGGCCCCTGTCGTGTGTATCTGTTCCCTGTCCTGTGTTTCCCTCCTGAAATATTCATGGTGACTGATGATGAGAGGACCAGACTGGTACTGGGAGCCTGAAATCCCCACCTGGTCTGGGAACACAGACTAGAGGTACGTGTGGCCAGGTGGTTAACTGGTTGTCATGTGGCACGTGGGGTGTGAGGAAGGCCTTGCCCCCGCTGTCCAGCCAGTTCCTAGTGGAGTCTGAGATCTGATCATCAGTCCTAGGACTTAAAGCTCAGGGCCTCTCCTTGAGCTTTTGTGCTCAAGGCTAGCACTTTTACCACTTGAGCCAAAGCTCTGCTTCTGTGTTTTTTGTTGTTTTTTTTTTTGTCGGTCCTGGGGCTTGAACTCTGGGCCTGGGCGCTGTCCCTCAGTTCTTCAGCTCAAGGCTAGCGCTCTACCACTTGAGCTACAGTGCCACTTCCAGTTTTCTGAGTGGTTTATTGGAGATAAAGAGTCTCTCGGACTTTCCAGCAGCCGCAAGCTGGCTTTGAACCGTGATCCTCAGATCTTAGCCTCCTGAGTAGCTAGGATTACAGGTGTGAGCTACCGGCACCCAGGCACCCAGCTCCACTTCTGGTTTGAGGGTTTTTTTTTTTTGTTGTTGGCTGGTCCTGGGCCTTGAACTTAGGGCCTGAGCTCTGTCCCTGAGCCTCTCTGTTCTCAAGGATCCATTTTACCACTTGAGCCACAGCGCCACTTCTGGTTTTTTCTGCTTACGTAATGAGGAATCGAACCCAGGGCTTCATGCATGCTAAGCAAGCACTCTGCTACTAAGCCGTATTCCCAGCCCAAGAGTACATCTTTTTGAACAATGTCACCCCTTCCTTTGCTCTCACACACTTCTGGCTTTATTGATGAGTAATTGGAGATAAGACTCTCATGGACTTTGCTGCCTATGCTGGCTTTGAACTGTGATCCTCCGATCTCAGCCCCAGCAGCTGGGATTACAGGTGTGACACATCAGCACTTGGTTGCCCCAGGCTTCTTTGTTTTGTTTTTTTTTTTGGATCCGGTTGTGGGGCCTGAACTTGGGGCCTGGGTGCTGTCCCTCAGCTCAAGGCTAGCGCACTACCACTTGAGCCACAGTGCCACTTCCGGCTTTTTTCTTTTTGCTTATGTGGTGCTGAGGAATCGAACCCAGGGCCTCGAGCATGCAAGGCAAGCGCTCTACCACTGAGCCACCTTCCCAGCCCATGCCCCAGGTTTCTTAATGCCAGAGCTGGCCTCAGCACCAGAATGTGGGCCTTGGCTTGGCTTCTCTCTCAGGGAGGGGTCTCTGGCTAGAGGACATTTCCCACATTCCAGGAGCAGGGCCCAGGGTGTCTTCAGTCTGGGGGTCACGGTCCTCACAGCTGGATCCGGTGTGACCTGACTGAGCAGGGCTGAGCTCCCTGTCTTTGTCTTGAAGGTACGCAGCAAGTGGCGGCCGTGTCCGCAGTCTCTCCAGCAGCCCCCTTCCAGAACATGCCCCCCACCGTCTCCCAGACGCCCGCCATTGCTGCCACCCCTGTACCGACCATCACTGCAAATGTCACGTCCGTCCCTGTCCCCCCGGCCGCTGCACCACCTCCTCCCGCAACACCCATCGTGCCCGTGGTCCCTCCCACGCCGCCTGTGGTCAAGGTGAGCGTTCCTGAGGCCACAGAGGCCATGTGGCGAGGTTGGCTCAGGGGTCCAAGCCCCGAGGGCTCCTGTGGCCAGGGCAGGATTGGGCCGGGGAGTGGGGAAGCTTGCCCTCTTCTGAATGCTGGCTGTGTAGAAAGGTTCTTTCTGACAGGAGACTGAGGCTTGGGCTGGGGGTCACACCGCTGGTGCTAGCCAGGCCGAACTCTTCCTAGATCCGCAGGCCTAGCAGCCTTGGCCTTTGCAGGCCACTGGCCAGGGTGGGGAAGGCATGGGTGAGCAGTGGGGAGAGCGGAGGCGGCGTCCACCAGCCCGTGGGTTCAGGGCCTGCACGTCTGTTCCTGCTTGTGGGAGCTTTGCACCCAGGGCGCTGTCCCGTCCTGGCCAGGCCTGACTCAGGCCCAGCGCAGAGTGGGGGCTCCCTGTAAGTTCCGGGGCTAGCGAGTCCCTGGCGTCGGGCAGGGCCCATGCCAGGCACTCACGCGTGTTATCTTCTTCAATTTGATCCTCACAGCAACCCTCTGGGGCAGGCAGTAGTCCCCCCTCTTACAGATGAGGAAGCGGGCGCTCAGGGGTTAAATGGCTCTCCCAAGGTAAAATGCCACCTCCGTTGCTCTCCCTTCCCCGGGCCTCCACTGCCTGCACTCTGGGCGGTGCCTGTCCAGCCGGCCTCCCACAGTGCACAGCATGTCCCGCCTGCCACGGCCGGCCGGATGAGTCTGCCCCGCCCCTCCCCGCCTCAGGCCCTCTGCAGCTCGTGCTTGGTGCTTGGCATCCTGTGGGTGCCTGTTAAGTGTCTGTGGTAGCCAGCTCGTGCCCCTGCCAACCTGAGGGCAGCAGCTTGGCTGGGGCAGTGACTGTGGGGCTGTAAACGGCAGGTGCCGGGGCAGCTGTCTGTCCCCCAGCCTGGGAGCTCGTGGTTCCTGTTAGCGTCTCTGTCCACCCCAGCTGAGCGCGTCTCAGGGTGCTCACTGAGCTCGGCTCCTGACTCACTGGTGACGTCCGGGTGCTCTGGGCCCTTGCAGGCTTGGGGAGAGACCCACACCCCCATAGACTTGACATTAGCGCACACCCAGTTGGCAGAGGCCATGTGAGTCCCGCTGGGGCTGCTCTGCCCAGGGCCGCCGTGGAGGGCCCTGGAGCGCCTGGTGCCTTCCGCACAGTCCAGCTGCGCCCACTCCAGCAGCCCCCGCAGTCCTCAGCTCAAACCCACGGTGGCTGCTTCACGGCTCTGGTCAGGCTGCCCCTACCCGTCTAGCCCGGAATGCTCCTCCTTCCTTCCTTCCTTCCTTCCTTCCTTCCTTCCTTCCTTCCTTCCTTCCTTCCTTCCTTCCTTTCTTCCTTCCTTCTTCCCTCCTTCCTTCCATCCTCGTCCTGCTCGACTTGTGTCCATCATCGAAGCGCCAGCTCAGGGCCTCCCCTGGCACTTTGCTGCTGGTCTTCTTATGCAGGGAGTCCTCCATCTCGTCCATCCCTAGGGCCTGCCTGGCCTGGTGTGCCTGCAAGGTGTCGGGGGGGGGGTGCACACAGCGCCTCACGGTGCCCAGGGCGCCCACTTGGACATCCAGGCCCTCAGGGTAGAGGGAGAGAGAGGTTGTCCTCAGTCCCCACCTTAGGCTGGTGGCCCGGCTCCTCTGAGCCTGGTGTTCTCTTCCCTGAAGCAGGACCGTGCATGTGGTCGCTCGCTCCCTCGCTGGACCCTGGCAGGCACTGTGTCCTCCAGAAGCTCAGCCGCGGCCAGATGCTCCTGTGAGATGCGCTCCTCATTTCTGGCATTCACTGGTTCCTTTGCTGTCACAGAAAAAGGGCGTGAAGCGGAAAGCTGACACGACCACACCCACCACGTCGGCCATCACCGCCAGCCGGAGTGAGTCCCCCCCGACACTGACGGAGCCTAAGCAGGCCAAGGTGGTGGTCCGACGGGAGAGCGGGGGCCGCCCCATCAAGCCTCCAAAGAAGGACCTGGAGGATGGGGAGGTGCCCCAGCACGCAGGCAAGAAGGGCAAGCTGTCGGAGCACCTGCGGCACTGTGACAGCATCCTCAGGGAGATGCTGTCCAAGAAGCACGCGGCCTACGCCTGGCCCTTCTACAAGCCGGTGGACGCCGAGGCGCTGGAGCTGCACGACTACCATGACATCATCAAACATCCCATGGACCTCAGCACCGTCAAAGTACGTGGCAGGCGGCAGCCCTTCTGAGCCGTGGACGCCACGGCCCCGAGTGGCCTTGCTGCTGGATCTGTGTTGCGTGAGCGGCCACCTTGAGAGCTGGGCCTGCCCAACTCAGAACTCTGCTCCTGCTGCCCAGAGCCCAGCAGCTGCCTGGTCAGGCAGGAAGGCCTGCCTGGGCACCCTGGGGCTGCAGCTTAGGCCTGGCTTACCCCAGCCGGGCCTCATTCAGTGGTTTTGCCCCCCCTTTTGAATCACCAGCCCGGGGGTTCTTAGCCATGACCACTGTTGTGGCTGCTACAAGGTGCAGAGCTGCACACTGCTTCCCTCAAGTCCCAGGAGAAGGTGCCCCATAGCAAAGAGCAGGTGAGAGGCAGGGACGGGCGGGCCTGACTCTGCTTCTGGCTGCCTCTGAGCCCACATCCCACCAGACGGAAAGGAGCGGGGCAGACGAAGGCACAGCAGTGGAACCATGAACCCACACCTCCCCGTGTCCACACCAGGTCTTCAGAGGTTTGTGTTCGGCCAGGTCAGTGTCAGGCAAGTCTTAAATAGAGCGGGCTGGGTCCAGCTTTGCTGCAGGAAGCATCTGGAAGCAGTGGCCGCCCCGGGCTGGGCCACCCTGCTTTCCCGGAGGGGGCTTGAGTTGGCCTGCAGGAGTGGCCAGCACTTGTCCACGCATGCCACCTCTGGGCCTGGAAAGACGGCCCTGCATGGGAACCGCGTGGTGGTTTTCACCCGTGCAGTCTGGGCCTGTGCAGTGCAGGTGTCTGGCAGCAGCACTGAGGCAGAATGGGAAGCCTATTGGGTGCCAGCAGCCTGGTCACCCAGGTGGCATGCCTAGTGCTCAGTTGGGTACAGTGAGGAGCTGGGCATCCAGCAAGGCTACCCTGGGAAGAGAGAGCCCAGAAACTTCTAGAAGCCTTTCTGTAGCTGGCCTGGCCTAGTGTGTGCGTCTCCACTGCAGTGCAGGCCTGGAGCTCCAAAGCGTGGCCGGGAACTCCGGCCTTGGGCTCAGGTCAGGCCCATCCGGTCAGAATCTGGTTTCATGAGAGCAGCCCTCTCGCGAGCCTTGGCGTGCTCTCTTCAGCCTTTTTGTGTCCTCAGGGTATGGGGAGAAGTAGGGTGCTCCAGGACTTGCTCATGGTCAAGCCGGACCAGCCCCACCACATCCGATTATGCACAGGGCTCAGCAGGGAGGGCCATGAGGGGCCCTGAGTTTCTGAAACATGACAGTGAGGTAAAGGCAGATGTGGGTGGTGTGCTGGAGATTTTTTTTTTGGGGGGTCCGGTCGTGGGGCCTGAACTCTGGGCCTGGGCGCTGTTCCTCAGATCTTCAGCTCAAGGCTAGCACTCTACCACTTGAGCCACAGCGCCACTTCTGGCTTTTTTCTTTTTGCTTATGTGGTGCTGAGGAATCGAACCCAGGGCCTCATGCATGCAAGACAAGCGCTCTACCACTGAGCCACCTTCCCAGCCCCTGGAGATGTTTAAATATAAAGCGGGAGAGCCAGGCGCCGGTGGCTCACGCCTGTAACCCTGGCTACTCAGGTGCCTGAAAGCAGAGGATTACAGTTTAGAGCCAGCCCAGGCAGGAATGTCCGTGAGATTCTGATCTCCAATGAACCACCAGAAAACGGGAAGTGGCTCAAAGTTGTGGAGCACTAGGCTTGAGTGAAAGAGTTCAGGGACAGTGCCCAGGCCCTGAGTTCAAGCATCACAACCAACTAAATAAATAAAAAACAGGTGGTAGGTCTCTGCCCTGACACGTGTAGATATTGGCTATAAGAATTAGCCCCTAGGGGCTGGGAAGGTGGCTCAGTGGTAGAGCACTTGCCTTGCAAGCCTGAGGCCCTGGGTTTGATTCCTCAGCACCACATAAGCAAAAAGAAAAAAGCCGGAAGTGGCGCTGTGGCTCAAGTGGTAGAGCGCTAGCCTTGAGCTGAAGAGCTGAGGGACAGCGCCCAGGCCCAGAGTTCAGGCCCCACGACCAGACCCAAAAAAAAAAAAAAAAAGAATTAGCCCCTAGCTGGGGCTCTACCACTGAGCCACCTTCCCAGCCCCTGGAGATTTTTAAATATAAAGCAGGAAAGCCAGGCGCCGGTGGCTCACGCCTGTAATCATAGCTACTCAGGAGGCTGAGATCTGAGGATCACGGTTCAAAGCCAGCCCAGGAAAAGTCCAAGAGACACTCAGTTCCAAATTAACCACCAGAAAGCTAGAAGTAGCATTGTGGCTTGAGTGGTAGAGCACTTGCTTTGAGCTGAAGAGTTCAGAGACAGTGCCCAGGCCCAGAGTTCAAGCCCCACGATGGACCAAAATAAAAAGGCCCCAAGCTGGGCACTGGTGGCTTATGCCTGTAATCCTAGCTATTCAGGAGGCCGAGATCTGAGGATCACCATTTGAAGCCAGCCAGGGAAGGATAGTCTGTGAGATTCAACTCCAATTAGCCGCCAGAAAATGAGAAGTAGCACTATGGCTCAAAATGGTAGAACACCAGCCTTGAGCAAAAGAGCTCAGGGACAGCACCCAGGCCCAGAGATCAAGCCAACCGAGGCCAAAAACGAAAGCCCCAGTATGAAGAAACCTCCAGACTGTAATGTGCCAGCCAGCCATTACCGTTAGGAAGAGGAGCTAGACAGCCGGCCTGGGTGTTCGGGTCCTTCTACTGTGGCTGGACTCCTATGGATTGGCACTCTCGCTGGCACCGGCCCTGGGTTCCACAGAGTTGCAGCAGACCTCTCTTGCATGTATTGACAACTTGATGTCCTTGACAACTGGGCTCTGCTGAGGGTTCTTGCTCCATTAGAAGCAGCTTATTATTTGTCCTGATTACTGCCACCTCCAGGCGCCCCCGGAAGCCCTACTCCTGTTGGCCCCCAGGACCCAGTCCACCCCTCACCCCAAGCTACCCAGCCCCATTCTGTATGCCTATGTGACCCCACCTTGGACTCAGCCTGCCCAGCATTAGTCTCGGCGGCCTGAGGCCTTACTGCAGGGCCTGTGGATCAGGGCCTGGGCCCCCTGCTGCCCTCCACCACTGAAGGGGGCCAAGACAACGCAGTGAGGGCTTTCTGTGAGAAGCAAGCTGGCTGACAGCTACTGGACTCTTCCCAGGGAAGAGGTGATAGTGGAGCTGTAGGAGCAGTTACCCAGCATGCCATGGTCCTTCTGGAGCCCCTGCTGATGGCCCACTAAGAGGAACCGGAAACTCCGCACGAGAAAGTGGCTCTGGTGGCTGCAGGGACTAGCGCATCTCATCCTAGCCAAGAGCCGTCTCCAGCCCCACGGTTCCTGTTGAGCCGGCCCCTTCTGCCCTTGGCTTGCACTTCTTTGGTGTTGGAAAGTAGGGTGTCCTGGCTGTCTGCTACCTGTGGGCTGGTGGGCATCCTGAGGGTGCCAAGTTCATTCCAGTGGGTGTGTCAGGGAGTACTGCCTGCTCACGCCCTCTTGCTTGTGTGTTACAGAGAAAGATGGACAGCCGCGAGTACCCAGATGCACAGGGCTTTGCCGCTGACATCCGGTTAATGTTCTCCAATTGTTATAAGTACAACCCTCCAGACCATGAAGTGGTAGCCATGGCCAGGAAGCTCCAGGTAACCTGAGCTGGACGTGCTGTGATTAGCAGCTGGGACTGGCTCCGTGGGTGTCCAGGCCCCGGTACAAGATGGGCACACCACTCACAACCCATCTTCTCTGCGTGTGGCGAAAGCATGGCAGGCCCAGAGCCTGGTTCCAAGAAGTGATGGTGAACAGGCTGGCCTCGCCTCCGGGAGCTGCAGACTGGTGTGGGAAGATGGCTGGCTAGCAGGCAAGGGCCTTAGTGGTGGCAGGAGTCCATGGTACTTGCCTGCCTGGGCCCCACAGGTGGGCCTGTCCCAGGGCTGTGTGTCCTGGGCGGGATGGCAGGGACTGGTGTGGCCACACTAGATCCACTTCGGGTCCAGCTTCTCTGCTGACAAGGCAAGGCCGGCTGGCGAGCGCGTGCACACACATTGTGCGGGGGGTTCTTCATTAGCTCAGGCACCTCGTGGCCAGCCACACAGACCTGGCACTGAGGTGTGTATTGTACATGCATGTGGGTCTTACCAGCATCTGGGAACTGCACACCTGTTTCCGTGTGGGTCCCACACCAGAAACTATTCTGACCTTTTGTATTGATTGTGCAAGTTGTGTGCTTTGGTAAAGATCAATGCTTTCTGTGGGTGCAAGGGTATACACACGCACCAGTGCTGGGGCCTGAACTCAGGGCCTAGGCCCTGGCCCTCAGCTTTTTCGTTCAAGGCTAGTGCTCTACCATGTAAGCCACAGCTCCACTTCTGTTTTTTTGGTGGATAATTGGAGATAAGCATCTGTGGACTTCTCTGCCTGGGCTGGCTTTGAACCTCTGGCACCCAACCATGTCAAAAGGCTTTCATTTTGGAGCCAAAATGAAAATTATGGGGGGCTGGAAAAGTGGCTCAGTGGTAGACCGCTTGCCTCGCATGCATGAGGCCCTGGGTTCGATTCCTCAGCACCACATAAGCAAAAAGAAAAAAGCTGGAAGTGGCGCTGTGGCTCAAGTGGTAGAGCACTAGTCTTGAGCTGAAGAGCTGAGGGACAGCGCCCAGGCCCAGAGTTCAGGCCCCACGACTGGACCAAAAAAAAAAAAAAAAAATTATGGGTAGCCTTTCCAGGACCTGAAACTGTCTGGGAGTTGTTCTTAGTTTCTTGCTCAGATGAATCCTGGTGTGATGTACCCAAGTAGTTGTGGAGCCCCAGGACCCCGGTGTCAGGCCGAGACCTGGCTCACAGTGCTTGGAACCTAACAGTGTAACCAGCAGTGTAGCCAAGTCAGCTCACAGATAGCAAGAGGCCCTGGTTCTGCCCCGTGTGAGATGCCGATGGGTCTTTGCTAAGAGGCCCTGGTTCTGCCCCGTGTGAGATGCCGATGGGTCTTTGCTCCGGACGCTTTGGCGAGGGGGGGGTGAGGGGAGGAAGGCCCAACACCATAGCACCCTGCTCAGAAGGCCTTCTGGGCTGCGCGCTGACTTCTTAGCTCAGGGCACAGCGTACCTCTGCACACATCTCTGCCCCAAGAAGAGTGGATGAGCCAGGCCAAGGCAGCAGCCCCTCATTTTCCCCTGTCTGCTTCGCGGAGGGGAAACCTCCACCGAGAGAATTTTGAGGGCCTAGGTCCTACAGGGGCCAGTGAGGGGCTTTCCAAGGCTGTCTCTGCAGGACAAAGTGTTGGAGTTAACCTGCTCTGCACCGAAGCGGGGAAGGGGTCAGGTGGCTGTCTTCCTGCTGCTTCCACTAGAGTACAGGACTTGTCCACAGGGGGCAGCCTGGTCCTGGAGGCTGCCAGGGCTGCGTGGGATTGCGGTACAGTGGCTGGCCGGCCCCCTTCCCAGATGGCACTCGGGAGCTGCCTGGGGAAAGCCGGGCTTGTCCCTCACAGGGGCCGTTACGGGGGGGCTCCTGCAGAGCTCGACCTCGTGAGCCAGGTGCACACGGCTGCCCTGTGGGCGTCCAGGTGCTCAGGCAGCCCCTGTTCCTCCCCAGGATGTGTTTGAGATGAGGTTTGCCAAGATGCCTGATGAACCAGTGGAGACGCCTGCCCTGCCCCTGCCCACGGCTCCCATGGTGAGCAAGGGCACGGAGAGCAGCCGCAGCAGCGAGGAGAGCTCTTCCGACTCAGGCAGCTCGGATTCCGAGGAGGAGCGGGCCACACGGTTGGCAGAGCTGCAAGAGCAGGTGAGGCACTGTCTGGCTCCTGCCAGGCCCGGCGCCCGCGAGGCTGCCCTGCTGTGGCTGTCTCAGACATCCTTCGTGGTGCTGCCGTGGGAGGGGCCCTCCCGTATGCCCAGACATGGCTGCCTGCGTGCCCTGCTCTAGAAAAGGACAGGAAGGCACATGCAGGCTCCATGAGCCGCCCTTGGTGCCCAGCCCGAGTGTGCACATTGCTTCCCCAGTGTCTGGCAGCCAGGCCTCGATGCACACTGTCTTGAGAGTTGTGGCAGAGCAGACAAGCGTGGGAGCCAAGCTGCGGAGGCCGGAGAACCGTGTGGGTGGTGGGTGGCTCCACGGGAGCCGGGGCGGGAAGGGGACTTGGGGAGGGGCGCTGGTGAGGGATGATGGGCTGCACACTGGCTGGCCGGGGAGACAGCAGGTGTGGTCCCTCCCCTGCCCGCCGGGGGTTGGGCGTAGCAGGTGTGGTCCCTCCCCTGCCCGCCGGGGGTTGGACGTAGCAGGTGTGGTCCCTCCCCTGCCCGCCGGGGGTTGGGCGTAGCAGGTGTGGTCCCTCCCCTGCCCGCCGGGGGTTGGACGTAGCAGGTGTGGTCCCTCCCCTGCCCGCCGGGGGTTGGGCGTAGCAGGTGTGGTCCCTCCCCTGCCCGCCGGGGGTTGGACGTAGCAGGTGTGGTCCCTCCCCTGCCCGCCGGGGGTTGGACGTAGCTGCTCAGCACCACCACTTGTCCTGGTGAGCCAGCATTCCCAGAGCCTTCTGTAAAATGCCTAGCACCCTGCCAGCTGTGGCCAGGCTCTGGGAGAATGACAACCAGCACTGAGCCACTCCACTCTGTAGTCTTTAACTGCCTTTGGGGGGTGGGGGAGGGGGATGGGCCTCGGGGGGAGAGGTTGAGTACCAAGGATCAAACTCAGGATGTTGTATTTGCTAGGCAAGCCCTGTGCGACCAAGTTAAATCCAGCTCTCTACATCTTAGTCTTGCTGTATAATACATTATCTTTTGGCAGCCAGGCATGGCAGCTCAGACCTGTAATCCTAGATAGTTGAGAGGTAGGGATCGGGTGGTCATGATTAACAGCCATCCTGAACTGGCAAAACAGTTGTTTTCAAGACTCAACCAGTGGCTAGATGTAGTGGTCTGCGCTTCTCCCTTGGTGACAAAGAGACGCACAGATAGGAAGACTTCTGTCCAGGCCAGTTTGGGAATAAAGTAAGCTCCTGTTTCAAAAAGCCTGTCACCCCAGCTATTTGGGAGGCAGAGATTAGGAGGATTATAGTTTGAGGCCAGTCTGGACCCTCCAAAAAATTAAACACGTTTGCAAGACTTCATCTCAACCAACGGCTGGATACTGTGGCATGCATCTGTCACCCCAGTGCCACAGAAGCACACGTAGAAGGATTCTGGCCCAGCCAGCTTGGGCACAAATGAGACCAGCCCAGAGCTGGACGTATGGCTTAAGTGGTAGAGCACCTGTCTGACAAGCTCACGGCCCCGAGTTCAAACCCCAGTACTATCCAAGATGAAATAAGAGCCCAGTCTTCTTTGTGGGCTGCGGTGTAGCCGGGCAGAGCCTCACCGGCATTGCCGTGCCCGCAGCGAGCTCTGCCTTGCTGATCCACTCAGCTCCTTGCTCTTCTCCAGCTGAAGGCCGTGCATGAGCAGCTGGCTGCCCTGTCTCAGGCCCCAGTGAACAAACCAAAGAAGAAGAAAGAGAAGAAGGAGAAGGAGAAGAAGAAGAAGGACAAGGACAAGGAGAAGCACAGGGCCAAGTCTGAAGAGGAGAAGAAGGCCAAGGCAGCCCCCCCTGCCAAGCAGGCACAGCAGAAGAAGGCTCCTGTCAAGAAGGCCAACAGCACCACCACAGCCAGCAGGTGGGCGCCCGCCCTCCGGGCCCCGAGTGCGGCAGGTCACCGGGCGGGAGGTCTGGGGAGACCAGGGCAGTCGGCCAGGCTGGGGAGTCATCCGCTCCTTTCCTGCCCGCAGGCTGCCCTCCATACTGGGTATCAAGGGGTTTGCACTGTTCCGCCTCCATGCTTGAGACCTTTCCCGACCCAGGCCCCCAAGCCTGCATATCGGGCCTACCTAACTTAGCTCGTGCGGTGGCTGTGTCCTGCCCCGAGGAGCCAGGAGTGGCAGAGCAGGGCCAGCAGGGAGAGATGGGTCCTCTCTCTGCCTCTCGGAGCACGCGACTGCGGTGGGCAGAGGCTGGGGCTGGGGCTGGGTGTGAAGTCTTGGGGCCCGCAGATGTCCTTTTTAAAATCAGGACAGATTGGCACCCCTGAAAAAGGCAAGTGGAGCCCGCAGAGGCCGGTGGGCCTCGGGGAGTCACTGCACCCCTTCCTCAGAGAGGGAAGTGGTCAGTCTGGCCAGGGTGGAGGCAGAGGTTCTGATTGTGAGGCGGGGTCTTCCTGGGGAGGCGGAGGTTCTGATTGTGAGGCGGGGTCTTCCTGGGGAGGCGGAGGTTCTGAGAGTGGGGCGGGGTCTTCCTGTCCAAGCAGAGGTTGTGATTGTGTAGGGGATCTTCCTGTCCAGGCAGAGGTCTGGCTATGAAGCGGGGTCTTCCTGTCCCTCGCAGGCATACTTGGAAGCTGGCCCTGCCACCTCGGGCCACCTGGAGGAGAGCCTGGGCCCGAAGAAGGGCAGCCAGGCGGCCAGGTGGGTATTACAGGGTGGGGACGCAGGGGCTTGACGCTGTTACTCTCTCGGGCCTCAGACAGCTGAAGAAAGGCGGCAAGCAGGCGTCTGCGTCCTACGATTCGGAGGAGGAGGAGGAAGGCCTGCCCATGAGCTATGACGAGAAGCGCCAGCTGAGCTTGGACATCAACCGGCTGCCGGGGGAGAAGCTGGGCCGCGTGGTGCACATCATCCAGTCCCGGGAGCCCTCGCTCAGGGACTCCAACCCTGATGAGATCGAGATCGACTTCGAGACCCTGAAGCCCACCACGCTGCGAGAGCTGGAGAGATACGTCAAGTCTTGTTTACAGAAAAAGCAGAGGAAGCCGTTCTGTAAGTTGTCTGGGACGGGACAGTGCCACTGTGGCCTATCGTCCCCGTCCGTCCCCGTCCCCCCCCCCCCCCCCCCCCCCCCCCCCCCCCGCAGCCCGGAGACACCCGTGCTCAGCTCGGGCGGGATGTGTGACTGAGCATGCCCCGCCTCACCTCACCCACCGGAGGGGGGCTGTAGAGCGCTCTTGGGTGGGTCCTGCCTGGGGAAGGCAGGCCCTGAGTGGGCCTGGGACCACATCTACCTGCACGGCTTCCTGAGGCTCAGTTAGGGTTCTCGGTCCTTTGTCCGGAGCACAGGAAAGAGGAGAGCCCCCTTTGGCCAGGGTCCAGTGTCCAGAACTTTCTAGGACGGAACCCTGACTCAGCAAGTCAGGTGCCCTGTTTGTCATCCCTCAGGTGCTAGAGTCTAGGAGGGAAGGACAGAGCCCGAGCAGCCCCTTCCAGCCCCCGCTACTAGGGCTGGCGAGCCTCACGTGGGCCCGTGCGATGCTCATGTGTGCCGGGTTCTCTCTGGAACAGGTGGCCTCCTTTCCGTGGGTGGGCGGCCGGACCGTGGATTCCATGTCTGTGGTCTCTGTGTACCTGCTGGTGGGTGGGGCTTCCTCCAGTGTGTCCCCCCCCCCCCCCCCAATTCTTGCCAAGGCTAAAGATGAGGCTGCACGTGGCCGGGGCTCAGTAGATGTGGCAGTGGTGGTTCCAGGCCATCTGTGGCTGCACCAGCTGGAGGGCAGGAGCTGGGGTATGCACCGGTGCCTAGGGCTGCCCACGGCCGCCTGGTGGCCCTGGCTCCAGGAGCGTCTCAGTGCTCATCTGTCCCTCCTTAGCCACCAGCGGGAAGAAGCAGGCAGCCAAATCAAAGGAGGAGCTAGCTCAGGAAAAGAAGAAGGAGCTGGAGAAGCGGCTGCAGGACGTCAGCGGGCAGCTGAACAGCAAGAAGCCGGCCAAGAAAGGTTCGTCGCGAGCCTGCCTATGGCCGCCACCCACAGCCACCTCCGTGCTGGCCACCATAGAGGGCAGCGGTTGGGAGGCTCGGGGCACCCACCGGCCCACTCGGGCCAGTCTGCCACCCATCAAGCTGTCCTGAGAGGAGCCTCCATTTCCTTACTGGAGATGGATGGTGCCCCCGCTATGCCCTGGTGGTTGTGGGTGAAAGCCAGAGGTCTGAGTTGCACGGGGCCTCGGTGTAAGGAAGGCAGCTTGCTTTTTCCCTGGCTATCTTAGGAGCAGGCGGTGGAGACCCAGCGGGCAGCAGGGTGTACAGGATGGTCAGCATGAGGGTCCCACAGGACCGGGTGCCTGCTAGCACCATAGGCCATGTGCCGAGGGCCTCGGGGGCAGTGTGGGCTCCAGGAGGGCCAGCGTGGTGTCTGCGGCCGCTGTGAGCACCATTTTGCAGGCCACCTCCCGGGGCCCGCCTCCGTTGAGATTGGCAGGCATTGTTAGTGTGGCCTCCCCAGCCATGTTGGCTCATCCCTGCGTGTTTCTAACCCCCTCGGGTGGAGAAGCGGGTGGACCCTGGCACAGGAGGGTGGCATGCAGCTAATGTGACACGGTGCCCTGGAGAGTGGGCAGTGAGGACCCCTTCCTTCCTCCCTGTGTCCCGCAGAGAAATCGGGCTCGGCGCCCTCGGGGGGGCCGTCGAGGCTCAGCAGCAGCAGCTCCTCGGAGTCGGCCAGCAGCAGCTCCAGCGGGTCCAGCTCTGACAGCAGTGACTCTGAGTGAACTTGGACTCGGCCAAGCTCGCAGCGTCCTCTTCTGTGGTTAATATACTACTCTTGTTCCATGGTGTGCAGGTTTCCTTTTGCTCAGTGTCAGTGTTAGATCTCTTCCAGCTGTGCTTCAGTGGGCAGAGAGCCTCCTGCGCATGCGTAGGTCAGACCTGAGAAGGGGCGCCCTGCGGGGAGTCGCTCGGAGACAGGAGCCCCACCACCTGGGACCTTGCAGAACCCCTCTTCTCTGCCCCGCCGGGTCTGTTACTTGGAAATTTTTCAAGGCTCTCTGCAGTGGGGCGGTGTGTGAGCGCTCACCAGGAGGCGCTGCGCTGTCTTTGCCATCTGGCCCTTTGCCTGATGCGGCCACCTCTCTCCGGGGGGCTGAGGACGGATGCCGGGCACCCGAGCCCCCCTCGGCCCTCTCAGCAGAGGGTTGAGGGGCTCCAGACCGCCGTGCTACGCTGTGGGGGTGGGCACCGTGGGGAGGGAGGCAGGGTGCCGGTTTTCGGCGGCCCTCCTGAGAAGAGACGAGCAGCTGCGTGCACAGCGTGCAGATTTCCAAACACTGAAACTTTTACCTCAACTTAAGAAAAAGAAAAACGATTTAAAAAAAAAAAAAGGAGACTTTTTTTGTAAGTTCAACCATTTTCTACGCAAGCCCGGTGTCCTCACCCTGCGCGCTGTGCGGCCGCGCGCCGCGCCGCTTCCCAGTCATGTATATATAAATACTTTATTTATTAACACCATTGGTCATTTTTTTAAAAAAAGACAAAACCATGAAGAAGTGCATTAAGAGAAGGGGGGGCGGCGTGTGGGGCTGGAAGGGAGCCTGGGCTGCGGCGGCGGCTCTCTGGGTTGGTTGGCCTATTTTGGTTTCTTTGGTTTTTGTGTTTTTTGGGGGGTGTATAAAACTGGGAGATTTAGGAGTGCAGACTCCTTCCAGCTGCAGCACGTTCTGATGTCTTACGTCGTCTGTTCAGTTCTTCTGTATCCACTTGCGGTCTCCTTGGACTGTTGGAAATGGCTTTAGGGAATCCCAGTTCTATCACGTAAGCTTTGTAATCGGAGAGGAAACGATGTATAGTTAAACCGAAGTCTTGATTTTTAACTTTCTATTGTAAAAAGTAATAATATACAGAGTTTAACCGAAGCTTCTGTTGGGTTTTGGTTTTGTTGAGAAGCTGAGGCTTTGGAGTGCAGGGTCTGTCTGCCACGCTCAGGGCACGGTAGCTTTCGGCCGGGAGCACAAGGCCAGCCTCAAGCTGGGCGGGCTGTCTCTGTGCGCCTGCGCTTGCCGGGGCGGAGGCGGCTGGGTGGCTCAGGAATCTTCAGTGAGCCAGAGGCGGCAGGGCGGGTGTGCTTCCGTGAGGGCCGCTGGGTGTGTACGTGGGACGCGTGTCCGTCCAGGTATCTGGCCCGCTGCGGTTCCCGCCAGCGGGAGACGGGCCCGTGGACAGCTCCCGGCCCGGGACAGTGTTGCGACAGCCCTGACACGGGCTCCAGCCACACCAGCAGCACTTCAGACGCAGCCGAGCGGATGCAGACGAGAGGAGACGGCAGGCCGCGGCGCGCGCCCACCGCTGGCGGCCTGACACCGGTCGTGCTCAGCCAGTTGGGTAAACTTTTAAGTCAGTTTTGTTTATAATAAAAAATAAGACATGGATTTTTTAAAGTTCCATTTTTTTAAATTACCCTTGTTTTTCAAAGGTATTTTCTAAGCAGATCTTGAATAGAACGTTTGAACTGTGACCTTAGGAACTGCCGGTGGAGCCTGAGCGGTCTTCACCACGCCAGCAGGCCCGCGGCGCCGTGTGTGTCACAGGTGCCGGCCCCGCCCTCGTGCCGGGCTGCCAGGCAGCCCAGGGGCCCTGCGCGAGCGGGGGGGGGGGGCGGGGAAGGGTCTGGGGTTCCTGCTGTCATTCATTGGTGCTGTAACCTTTTAAGGCTTTCTGTCCAGACTTTAGGCTGTTTCCCCTCTGTGTTGAGGGCCAGTGGCCCTTCAGCCTCTGGGGTCCCACGTGGCTGCGGGGAACCGCTGTGTGCGTCCCCTGATGGGAAAGGCTGCCGGGCACGCACGGGGCGGCTCTGCACAGGCTTCCCTAAGCCAGGGGGAGGGCAGGGTCAGGTGTGACCACTCGGTGCCCTGGGGGCCCAGGGCGGCTTCAGAGTCAGTGGGTCCCGAGACCTCTCTTCAGCGTGTTCCGTTTGTCCATCTTGGTTTGCCTTCTTCTGCAGCCGTCACCCCGTTTGCACTCATCTGGGAAAAAAATAGCCACATCGCTGTTCCGAATGCCGGCCGGCCTAACACTTCCAGGAAGATTTTTGTTTTTATATTTAAAATGTTACTTTTCTGTATGACATGCATGCAAGTTGACCGTACCTTTTCTTAAGCTTTTTAGTGCCGTTTCTAGTAGATTCCTGTAAATGTCAGTTACTGAAAATGAGTCCAATGTAAGTAGTTTTAGCTTGTTTTTTGCAATGCCAGCCTCAACACCACAGAGTAAAAACGGTAGAAAGTACTCTTTGATGTTTCTGGTAATCATGGACCCTTCTCCTGGGGTATTTGTTTTGTTTTCATAATAAAAAGGAAAAAGAAAAAGGTCATGTGTGCTGTCCTAGCGTCCCACGACGCTGTGTCTGCATGCGTCCTGGCCGCCTGTGGTACCCAGAGCTGGGCCGTGGCCCGAGGCCTCTGCGGGGCCAACCCCGTGCTCTGCTGTGCCCCCAGCATGGTCCCCTCTCCTCCCAGCCATACTGCAGTCTGTACAGGTGATTTCTGTGACAGGCGTCCATTCGGCCCACATGGAAACCACAGCATGGCGGCGTCATGCTGCTGAGGTTCACCGAGCCATGAGCGGGCCCCAGAAGCAACCATTGCTCAGTGAAGAAGGACCTGAGGCCATGGCTGCGGTCCTGGGCTGTGGAGCAGGTTCCCGCCAGGCCTCGCCCAAGCCTAAGGGCATGTCCATCACCCGGACTAGGTCAGGTGAAAGCTTGTCACTCCTGTTAACTCTGACCCTGTCCACCCTGACCATCCCCCACGGGACACCCGTTCACCTCGGCCAGATGGCCTCTTCCTGCCCCCTAAGCAGCTTAGTGTCCTCTAAGTGATGGACTGGCCAGTTTGCCACCCATTTCCATGAGACCAGCTAAGTGAGCACTCACCAGTGTGACTTGTCACCCGGGCCCCACGCCTGTGGCAGTGCTGTACCTGCAGTCTCGGGGGTCTGAGCCGTGGTGCACAGGCACTGCGGATGGCCGCAGCTCACTGCATGCTAAGCAGGACACACTGAAAAGATGCTGATACAAACTACTTAGTGGCTTTGGGGCAATCCCCCAGTGATGCCAGGCCCCGGGCAAGGCCAGTCACTGCAGGCAGGCATTGCACTTGGCACTAGCTTAGGTCCCCCAGGTCACAAGGGCTGGACCCAGCATTTGGGCAATGCAGCATGATCCAGTAGATCCACTGCTAGCATGTCTGCTGGAGAATTTACACATGCAGTGAGCAGATGTGGTCAAGATGGCTGTGTGTGTGGCTGAAAGCTGGACTGTTTCTATTAGGTGGGGCTGGCGCCAGAGGTCTAATACAAAGGGTAATACTTTGTGTTGCTGAGAATGATGCACAGGTCACATCCTTGCAATCACACGTGGAGTTTTTGTTTTGTGCCAGTGCTGGCCTTGAACTCAGGGCCTTATACTCACAAGACAAAGCTGGTACTCTAAAATTTGAGCCATACATTCCAGCCTTTTGATAGTTACATGGAAGTAAGACTAGCTTGAAACCTTGATCCTCAGATCTCAGCCTCCTGAGTAGCTAGGATCATGGGGTGAGCCACCAGCCACACATAGCCACATGGTTTTTATGCATACTAGCAACACCTGACAGAGACTGGCTTAAGGGAGAGAGCACTTTGCTTTTGCTTAGTTTTTTTTTTTTTTGCTTAGTTCTGTGTTGGGACTCTTTAGTAATCATTAGAATTACAGTTATTTAAAAAAAAACAAACAGGTGCTGGTAGCTCATGTCTGTAATCTTAGCCACTCAGGAGGCTGAGACCTGAGGATCATGGTTCAAAGCCAACCCAGGTAGGAAAGTCTGTGAGACTCTAATCTCCATTAAACCACCAGAGAACAGGAAGTGGTGCTGTGGCTCAAGTGGTAGAGCACTCACCTTGAGCTGAAGAGCTGAGGGACAGTGCCCAGGCCCTGTGTTCAAGCCCCACAACCGACAAAAAGGAAGAAAAAAAAAAAAGCCAGGTAAGATGTGTATAAAGACAGCAAACAAAAGGAAGACTCCTAAAGGATGTTTATTTAGAAAAGGAAGGTTTGTGTTGACGTCTGTGTGTCCACATGGTCCTAAGTACAGCAGAGGCTGACGAAAATAGGCCACAATACAGGGCGGCTGGGGTGGGGGTGGAGGGTAGCTACAGCCTCAGTGAGGTGCTAGTGTGCTCTGCCTTCCACTGGAGACCCTTCCTTCTCAGACACCTGATGATGAACTTTGCAATCACTGTGGGCAACTCACGTGGAGCTTAAAAGCTAGGGGCTTCCCTAAGGCATTTACAGAGCATTTGCTTGTAAGCCCAGTGTTTGAGGCTGGTGTGGAATGCAGTGCATATGTACAGGCTGCACAGGTAATGGGAGGAACACAGGTTGGGCAGAGCACCTGCTGAGATGCCCCTCTCTCACCCCCACAGCCCTGCACGTCTGGATCTGAGGTCACACGTGAAGGACATCCAACCTATTCTTAACCAGGCAGGACTTCACCAGAAGCGCCCTGCAACATCTTGGGAAGGTGGTTCCTGTAGGGCAGGGCGCTCTTGCTGGGAAGCATGAGTGGAGCTGGGGGGCTGTGCTAGGCCCGGGCACTGCCAGGCAGCACCTGGAGGAGGGCAGTGCGTGGGTGACGGCTAGAGAGGGACCCCCAGCTGGAGTCTGCGAGCCAACTGTGCTAGTGTGGTGTTGAAGGACCCAAGAGGCCTCTGGGACGCCTCCATCTCCAGTCCTCGCTCTGGATCTCCAGCAGGGAGCAGAAGCCAGAAAGCTGAACGGAGGGAACTCGGGCTTGGTGCTGGCACAGGTTTCCACGCTGGAATTACATAACTGTGCAAAACTTGGACTGGCCCGTGTCCCTGGAAACCTCAAGCTTGTTTCTGTCTCGGACTAAGATGGCCTCGTTTCCGTACTGCGAGTACCACATGCTGCGGCTCCTGCTCAGGTACGTCCCCGGAGGCACCGATTCCAGCATCCGCTGCTGCTGTTGCCAGATGAGCAGGGAGGCGTCCCTGTACCGCAGGCGGGCGAAGCCTTCCGACAGGGCCTTCTCTGCCAGTGGGACTCGGCCACTCATCCCCCCACCTGGTTTCCTGCACACCCCGTTACTGTCTCCAGCTGTCTTGGACTATGTTAACTGATGATTGACAATTTTTCCAGCAAGGCGTCCTGCGGAACTTAATGACAGAAGTGAGGACAAGGGACCACAGACCATATGCAGACAGCGTCCTCGGGAGGGCTGCGGGGCAGACCACATGGAAACATGCTTAGGAGCTTCCCGAAGCCCCTGCAGAGCTATTCAGCCCGCCAGCCAGTCACTGTGGGGCTGTGACCGCAGCCTGGGAAGGCATGGCTCTGTGGTGGTGACAGGGCCTCCCTCCTGCAGCTGCTGGGAGGCCTGTCAGGCGTCCAGTGATTGACAGCCAGGTTCTCCGAGCTTGAAGAGAGTCCCCAGCGTCCAGACAGAAGCAGAAGGAAGCCGTGTGCAGCCTGGCGCTGACCTGTCCACTCAGGACAGCAGCTGCTTTGGGACAAGGCCCCCACACACATGGAGGATCTGGGCCAGCCCTGGTCAGTTTCCTCCTGGCCAGGCTTCTGGACTGGGCTGCGGGGAGAGAGCCGCAGTCAGGTGGCTGGCAGCAGGGGCACCTCGCTTTGGGTCAGAGGCTCTCCGGGGTACCGCAGCCTCGGCTTGGCTCAGTTAGGTGTGCACACGATCCCAGGTTTCCAGCCATCGACTGAGGGTGCTGGGGACTTGGGGGACCCAAATCTCCGCATGTAAAGCAAGAGGCAGGGCGGCTGGGAGGGTAAAGCTCACCCCGGGGGGCGCAGGCGCGCCGCGGGCCTGGGCCGCAGTGCCGGGTCCTCGCCCTCAGCGCCCCGCACTCCCCACGCCCGGTACTCACCCCGCAGCGCCTCCCGGCTCCAGCATCAGACACCGCTGGGCCCAAGAGCGACGAAAATGACGTCAGCTGAAAGCGGGCGCGGCCCGGCCCCGCCGCGGGCCTCCGGCCGGCGCCTCCACCCGCGTGCAGTGGCCGGTGCGCGGCGCCCTCGCCGCCCCGCGCCCCGCGCCCGCCTCCCGCGCGGCCCCCTCGCCGCCCCGCGCCCGCCTCCCGCGCGGCCCCCTCGCCGCCCCGCGCCCGCCTCCCGCGCCCGCCTCCCGCGCCCGCCTCCCGCGCCCGCCTCCCGCGCCCGCCTCCCGCGCCCGCCTCCCGCGCCCGCCTCCCGCGCCCCGCCTCCCGCGCGGCCCCCTCGCCGCCCCGCGCCCCGCGCCCGCCTCCCGCGCGGCCCCCTCGCCGCCCCGCGCCCCGCGCCCGCCTCCCGCGCGGCCCCCGCGCCGCCCCGCGCCCCGCGCCCGCCTCCCGCGCGGCCCCCTCGCCGCCCCGCGCCCCGCGCCCGCCTCCCGCGCGGCCCCCGCGCCGCCCCGCGCCCCGCGCCCGCCTCCCGCGCGGCCGCCCCGCGCCCCGCTCACCGCGCGACGACCTCGGGGCCGCCCTGGGCTGCGCGTTGCGCCTGGGCCAGCGGGGCGCAGAGGCCGCGGGGCCTGGTCTCCATGGCAGCGCCGCAGGCGTGGCAAGCGGAGCCCGAGTAACTGGAATCGTCGATCTCCTGAGGGGCGGGGCCGGACTGACTCCGGAGGAGCGGGTAGAGGAGGCCGGGAGGACGAGGGGCGGGGTTGGAACGGGGCGAAGGATCTGGAGAGGAGTCGGGAGGAGGAGGAGCTGAGAGGAGGAGGAGGAGCTGAGAGGAGGAGGAGGAGCTGAGAGGAGGAGGAGGAGCTGAGAGAAGGAGGAGGAGGAGCAGGAGAGGAAGAGGAGCCAGAGAAGAGGAGGAGGAGCTGAGAGGAGGAGGAGGAGCTGAGAGGAGGAGGAGGAGCTGAGAGGAGGAGGAGGAGCTGAGAGGAGGAGGAGGAGCTGAGAGGAGGAGGAGGAGGAGCAGGAGAGGAAGAGGCGCCAGAGAAGAGGAGGAGGAGCGGGAGAGGAGGAGGAGGAGCTGAGAGGAGGAGGAGGAGCTGAGAGGAGGAGGAGGAGCTGAGAGAAGGAGGAGGAGGAGCAGGAGAGGAAGAGGCGCCAGAGAAGAGGAGGAGGAGCGGGAGATGAGGAGGAGGAGCTGAGAGGAGGAGGAGGAGCTGAGAGGAGGAGGAGGAGCTGAGAGAAGGAGGAGGAGGAGCAGGAGAGGAAGAGGAGCCAGAGAAGAGGAGGAGGAGCGGGAGAGGAGGAGGAGGAGCTGAGAGGAGGAGGAGGAGCCAAGGGAGGAGGAGGAGCTGAGAGAAGGAGGAGGAGGAGCAGGAGAGGAAGAGGAGCCAGAGAAGAGGAGGAGGAGCTGAGAGGAGGAGGAGGAGCTGAGAGGAGGAGGAGGAGCTGAGAGGAGGAGGAGGAGCTGAGAGAAGGAGGAGGAGGAGCAGGAGAGGAAGAGGCGCCAGAGAAGAGGAGGAGGAGCGGGAGAGGAGGAGGAGGAGCTGAGAGGAGGAGGAGGAGCTGAGAGGAGGAGGAGGAGCTGAGAGAAGGAGGAGGAGGAGCAGGAGAGGAAGAGGCGCCAGAGAAGAGGAGGAGGAGCGGGAGAGGAGGAGGAGGAGCCAAGGGAGGAGGAGGAGCTGAGAGGAGGAGGAGGAGCCGGAGAGGAGGAGGAGGAGCAGAGAGGAGGAGGAGGAGCCAAGGGAGGAGAAGCGGAGACGGGAGAAGGAACCGAGGAGGAGGAGCCGGGAGGGGGCGGAGCCGGGAGGGGGCGGAGCCGGGGCCCGAGGCCCCCGGGCCCTACCCCGGGCCGTCCCTGGCGGTCACCGGGCTGCAGGCGCCTTTTCTCGGGCCGAGCCGCTTGCAGTTGCCCCCTCTCCCCTAAGAACGGGAGGCGGCGCCCGCTGGTCGGCGGCTCGTCCGAGCGGCCGGAACGGGACGCGCCTCCCGCTTCCCGCACCCACCTCCCCGCGACCTCAGAGCCGCCCCTCGGCACCCGCCCCGTCGGCGGGAGGTGCAGACTAGCACTACCTCAAAGTCGGCGTGTCCATCACGGTGCTAGTCAGAATGCTCAGAAGCAAACGCAATGGAATCATCTGTCAGTGCGTGAGTGGGTGCGGAATGGAGTAAGTGTGCTCACACACACACACACACACACACACACACACACAGATTATTCTGCCTTAAAAAGAAAGAAATTAGCCAGGTGCCGGTGGCTCACGCCTGTCATCCTAGCTACTCAGGAGGCTGAGATCTGAGGATCACGGTTCAAAGCCAGCTGGGGCAGGAAAGTCCGTGAGACTCTTATCTCCAATAAACTACTAGAAAACTGGAAGTGGCGCTGTGGCTCAAGTGGTAGAGCGCTCACCTTGAGCTGAAGAGCTGAGGGACAGCACCCAGGCCCAGAGTTCAAGCCCAAGACCGACAAAAAAAAAAAAAAAAGCGTCTCAGATCCTCAGATCTCAGCCTCCTGAGTAGCTAGGATGACTTGCATGAGCCACCGGTGCCTGGCCATGAGAGTCTTATCTCCAATAAACTACTCAGAAAACAGGAAGTCGTGCTGTGGCTCAAGTGGTAGAGCACTCACCTTGAGCTGAAGAGCTGAGGGACAGTGTCCAGGCCAATTCAGGCTCCATGACAGACCAAAAAAGAAAGGAAGGAAGGAAGGAAGGAAGGAAGGAAGGGAGGGAAAAAGAAAGCAATTGAGTTAAGAATTGGTGGCTCATGCCCATAGACCTAACTCCTCAGGAGGCTGAGATCTAAGGATCACAGTTTGAAGCCAGCCCAGGCAGAGAAATCCATGAGACTCTTATCTCCAGTTAAATACCAAAAAGGCCAAAGTGGTAGTGTGGTGAAAGCGTGAAGCCCTGAGTTCAAGCACAAAAAAGAAGAAAAAAGAAATGTGGAAGGTTAAAATCTAAAATGGCAAGCATTTGTCTCAGATGCAGAAATGGATGGTCTTGTTCCCTCCCCGTCTGCAGGCACCCTGCCCCCCTCCTCCCTCCCTCTCCCCCTCCTCGCTGGCAGGCGCTGGTCACACATTTCCATTTCCACAGTTCCGGTGAACCCTTTCCTCCAACCACTCAGAGGCGGCTGAGCCACCGCAGCCCCTAGCACCTCTGGTCACTCAGGTATCAGGTCTCTTGGCCTTGAGAGAAGCCTGTAGTCATGGCTGCCCCTGCAGGGCCCCCTGCCGTCAGCCATGGGTTCTCATCCCTCAGTAGCCTGGGGAAGTTTGCTTCCTTAGACAGATGGTGGGGGGAGATGGGTCCCTGGGCGTTGGAGCCAGCAGCCTGGGCTTGGCCTGGAGGAGAGGTGGGGGGCAGGGGGTGCTCCTCTCCCCCTGGATTCCGTGGCAGGCAGTGAGGGGTGCACTGTGGGTGTGAGGAGGACAGTGGTGACCACTGTGTCCCACACCGCGCAGCACAGGTGTGGGTGGGACCTCCCACCTGCATCTTGGACGGGAGTGAGGTGGCTGCTCTTCTCATCATTGTTCCTCCTAGAGCCGCTCTAGGCCTGTGCATGGGGCACCCCTCCTGGGGAGGGGTCCTCCAGAGGGGTTCCAATTCTCAGGAGGCCATGCCTTTGGGCCTTTCCTGACCCAATCACTCTTCCAGAGGGGTTTGGGCTGGGACCCCTAATGAGTAGGAGCTGCAGTTACTTTTCTCATTTCCCCAGGCCACTCAGATGCAAGGCCAGCGCTGGCAGCCCACATTGTCCTGATAGCTCCTTCCTGACTCTGACAATCCTGGCCCACCTCCCTGTCATCCCGTATCTCCCTACGCCTCATACTGGGTGTGTGCTTGGGAGCATTTTCTAGCTGGGTGAGTGGGGGTGGTGATAGCTCACCTGTGGGTGGGCGGGGCAGATAGGTGTTTGGTGAGTAGATGCATGGACTAGCAGATGCGTGAGTGATGGATGGGGGAATGGATGCGTGGGTAGATGGGTGGATGGGTGAGTGGAGAGAGGGATGGGTGGGTGGATGGTTGGGTGGATGAGTGGATGGAGGGACAATGGGTGAGTGGATAGATGGGTAGTGGGTGGGTGGGTGAGTGGATGGGTAGGTGGCTAGGTACATGGGTGGAGGATTGGTGTGTGGACAGGTTGGTTGCAGGGAGCGAAGGTGGGAGGGCAGAGGAATGAGTTCACGCTGCGCACTGTGTACTTGTGCAGGGAAGACGGCCTGGCAGACGTCACAGGATCAGGACCAAGGAGGCTGGGAAATTGCTTCTTCAGGAGGTGATGTCTGAACTAAGGAGGTATCTCCTTGGTGAACCAGACTTGGGGATCTTCCCCTCAGTCTGATTCATTTAAAAGTTAACATGGCATTCCATTTTTGGCAAACTTTTAAGTATATTTGAAACAGCTTGGGTACGAGAATCTATACTTTTTCAACTGAATTCTATGAAAGCTAAATATAGCTCAGATGCTTCTGATGGGAATTTATGGTTCAGAAGGAAAAATGTTGTCAGTGTAAAATGCACACCACACCCCTGAGACATGAGAAGAGCGTGCAGAATGTCTCTTTAATGAGGCTTCTGGTTGATTTCTGGTAGTATTTCCAACAGTGGATGAATCAAGCATGTTATTATCCACTCATAATCAATTATTAGTGATGAAAAGGAAGTAGAGTAGCCTGGCATTGTCACTTATGCCTGTAATCCCAGCCACTCAGGAGGCTGAGGTCTGAGGATCAAAGGCTGAAGCCAGCCCAGGCAGCAAAGTCTATGAGACCCTTACCTCCACAGAACAGCCAAAAACTGGAAGTTAGAGGTATGGCTGAAGTAGTAGAGTGCCAGCCTTGAGGGAATAAAAGATAATGTTCAGGCTGAGTTCAAGCTCCAGGACTCCTCCCCCCTCCAAAAAAAACTAGCAATAAAAAGTATATTGTACCTTTCCAAATGCAGTGTAGAAAGCCTGCTGTGGCTCATGCCTATAATCGTAGCTACTCAGGAGGCTGAGATCTCAGGATCGAAGTTCAGAGCCATATGAAATGCATCAAAACATCTTCAATTAACCATCAAGAAGCTGGAAGTGCAAGTAAAGCTCAAGTGGTAGTACCAGCTTGTGGCAAAAAAGCTAAGGGATAGACCCTGAGTTCAAGCCCCAACACCGGTGTGAACACTCACACACAAACACACACACACACACCACACGCAATTATCCAGTTATTCATCTTCTGATTCCACACTGGGCCAGATGGTCTTTTTCCACACCTGTAACTTACTGAGAATTGTGCCAGCTGAGGCATGCCCATGGCTCTAATGGTGGACTGCAATGGTGTGGTTTAGATGCGAGCAGAGTTCCTGCGCCCAGCCATGTTGGGAGGGGTCGACCACTCACTTCCCTCCTGTGAGTGTGGAGTGGATGGCAGGGCAGGGCTGGGGGAGGACTGGTGGGTGTCAAAATGGACAGTAGGATGGTTTGAAGGATGGGTGGAGATGTGGGAGGAGAGGAGGGTCAGATGGCTGGGTGGACAGAGGGATGATGGGTTGAGGATAGACAGAAGGAAGTGGAAGGGACTGGTGGAAGAAGGAGTGGATGGGTAGAGGGAGGGAGCAGTTGAGGGATGTAGGAAGATGTGGTAGAGGGTTGAGTGAGGAGTGGGGGCTCTCAAGGGTATCCTTCCCCCGTTTTGTGTGCTGGTACTGGGCTTGAACTCACAACCAGGATACTCTTCTTAGTTTTTTTTCCCCTTAAGACTGGTATTCTTGGGGCTGGGAAGGTGGCTTAGTGGTGGAGTGCTTGCCTTACATGCATGAGGCCCTGGGTTCGATTCCTCAGCACCACATAAGCAGAAAAAGCCGGAAGTGGGGCTGACGCTCAAGTGGTAGAGTGCTAGCCTTCAGCTGAAGACCTGAGGGACAGTGCCCAGGCCCAGCTTTCAGGCCCCACAACCGACCCAAAAAAAAAAAAAAAAAAAGACTGGTATTCTAATGGTATATATTTACACACCAGAGGGAAAATAGGACACAGAACTAGAGGGAATCAGGGAAGACCATACAACAGTGGGAGCTATGAGCTGCACTGGACATTGATCAAAACAAACTAAGCAACTCACTGGCAGCGATGGAAGGGAGGGAAGGAGTGGGAAAGAGGGAAGAGCTGACACTATGCAAAAGGAGAGGACTGTGCATATCACCCCATGTGGAAGACATCACTGTATTGTCACAGCTCATAGAAGTCATACACTTTCTAGACCATGATAGACAATTTGCCCCACAAAGGTTAGAATGTGTTTGTGACTTTAACTAAGCATCACTATCCCACAATACTGTGAAATTTGTGTAACTATGTAATCACTTAAACACAATTATTTGCAAAAAAAAAAAAAAGACTGGCAGTATACTACTTGAGGCACACCTCCACTTCTGACGCTGTGTGTATGTGTGTGTGTGTGTGTGTGTGTTTCTGTTAGTGTGGGGCTTGAACTCAGAGCCTGGGTGCTGTCCCTGAGTTGCTTAAAGTTAGCGCTCTACCACTTTGAGCCACAGCTCTAGTTCCAGTTTTTAAGTGATTAATTGGAGATAAGTCTCACAGGGGCTTTTCTGCCTAGTCTTGCTTTGAACCACGATCCTCACATCTCAGCCTCTTGAGTAGCTAGGATTATAGGTGTGAGCCAACTGGCACCTGTATCTAGCATTAAAAAATGTTATTATAATGGCAATGTACAGAGTTTAGTTATATAAGTCAGCTAAAGAATACATTTCTATTTGGACAATGTCACCCCTTCACTCACTCCCCCCAGTTTTTCTCTTCCATCCCCATCCGTATGTTGTATACTTCATTTTCAACATAGTGTCTAGTGAGTACACTGCTGCATTTGCTCACTCTTTGTCTCTTGGATGTTTTTGCTGCTTAATTGGCAATAAGAGTCTTATAGATTTTCCTTCCCTAGGCTGGCTTTGGACTGAGATCTGAACCTTACGTCTCAGCCTCTTGAGTAGCTGGGATTACAAGTGTGAGTCACCAGCTCCTGGCTTCAAGTATGTTTTGATGAGAAGTCGAGAGTCTCAGTATTTGTCTGGGGGGTGTAGACAGAGTGTGCCTTCTCCGGCTGTGTGGTTCTGAGGGGGTATAGGGGGAAAGGAGGAGTTTTGGTTGATTTGTTTAGAAAGCTCCCAGAGCCTAAGTGGGTACTCGTGGATCATGCCTGGAATCTCCAAGGAACCAGGAAAAAGCAGGAAATGGAGCTGTGGTTCAAGTGGTAAAGTGCCAATCCTGAGTGACAAAGTGAAGGGGCAGAGCTCAGGCCCTGAGTTCAGACCCCAGTACTGGCATGTGCATGTGCGCACACACACAACCAACATCCAGAGTTCTTCCACATGGGGTTCATGTATGAGACACGTCACTGCAGAGGGACACGTGTTCCTGTCTAGAAACTGGCCCCTGGGGCTCTGCCGCAGTGAGGACTCTGACCACGTAGAATGGGGTGGGGTGTGTGCTCATAGTTCCTTGTGCTGCCACCCCAAAACCTATGCTACTTGCCTAGAGGTGGGGGCTCTGGAGATGGGGTCACAAAGGGGCCTTAGCTGAGGAAAAGGCTCATCATCCTGCCTTTCTATCTGTGGTTCTGGGGATGGCACTCGGCCTCATGTGCCCCCTGGCGGCACCCCATGTCTGCTCTAAGTCCCTGCAGCCTGGGCCTGTGCACACAGCAGACATTTGGAACCGAGTTTCTGCCAGGTTTTCATTTATTTCCCTGTGTCTTGCCTGTAGAGATTCCCACAGATGGAGAAACATGTGGCCAATGATGTCCTCCTGTCCACATCAGAGCTCGAGGCTCAGGCTCATATGCAACCCAGCAGCAAGGCCAGGTGTGTGTGTGTGTGTGTGTGTGGCTCAGGCTCATATGCAACCCAGCAGCAAGGCCATGTGTGTGTGTGTGTGTGTATGTGTGTGTGTGTGTCCGTGTGTGTGTGTGTGTGTGTATGTGTGTGTGTGTGTGTGTGTGTGTGTCCGTCCGTCGTTGGGTGGCCAGGTGGTTACCGACCGCCAGGGGGCAGCAGACGAGCGTACATCGTTGGCAGCAGGAGCCTCCGTCCCGCAGCTGCAGCTCTGGTCTTGGTTGGTTCCCGGCCCAGGCAGGAAGGCCAAGGGCAGGAGGACAGAGGCCCCTTTCCTGCTGGAAAGAGACACAGACAGACACATGCACAAGTGAATGCGGCAGTCTCTGCGGGCATCTCAGGTGAAGGGCTGCCCTGTGATGCTAGCCCACGCTTCAAGGTAGTCCTTTGGTGTGGAGAGGGGGTGAGAGCGGGGCTCTGCAGAGGCCCGAGGAGAGGCTGGGGGGGTCCACCGGAGTCAGCTCGCCCCACTGCACCTCTCTGGGACAGCGCAGCCCTCTCCTGGAGGCCGGCTCCCTTCCTCTGCCTGCTCACAAAAGCTCCCTGGCCATTTCCTCAGACAGAAGCCTATGCTATGCAGGAGCTGCTGGCTCACGGGTCCTGCGCTCACCGGTCCTGCGCTCACCTGTCCTGCGCTCACGGGTCCTGGGCTCACGGGTCCTGGGCTCACGGGTCCTGGGCTCACCTGTCCTGCGCTCACGGGTCCTGCGCTCACCGGTCCTGCGCTCACCGGTCCTGGGCTCACGGGTCCTGGGCTCACGGGTCCTGCGCTCACCGGTCCTGGGCTCACGGGTCCTGGGCTCACGGGTCCTGGGCTCACGGGTCCTGGGCTCACGGGTCCTGCGCTCTCCTGTCCTGGGCTCACCGGTCCTGCGCTCACCTGTCCTGCGCTCACCGGTCCTGCGCTCACGGGTCCTGCGCTCACCTGTCCTGGGCTCACGGGTCCTGGGCTCACGGGTCCTGGGCTCACCGGTCCTGGGCCAGGCGGCGCGCGGGTGCCTCTGGACCTCTCCCCCCGCCGCGCTTGGGGAAGGGCACGCGGGCCGTGCGCAGGGGCCGTTCTCAGGAGAGGACCCCGCGGGGAAGGTCAAGGGCACGAGCCCCGGGGCGCAGGGCTCCCGTCGGGGCTGGCACTCTGACCTCCGTCCGCCGGGCGGTGGGGGCCGTCCTGACCGGCTGCAAGGGCGCGGGCCGCGCGGGGCTCACGGCGGGGCTGGGGGCGCCCAGGGGTCCTCGTCACGTGGGACGGAACGCGGCGCTCCGGAAAGGCACCCCGGCGCCTGGGAGCCGCGGGTCCGCAGCCGGAAGTGCAGCGGCGGCCGCAGCGCCGGAGTGACAGCGCCCGTCCTGAAGCGGACGCTGCAGGGCCGCGCGCAGCGAGCGCCCCAAAGCCCCCCGCCGCACCGCGCGGCTGTCACGCGGAGGCCCGGCGGGGACCTGGGCCCCGGCTGCCTGGGCCCCCGCGCTCCCTCCCACGTCGGCTCTGCCCTCCGCGAGCACGGAGTCCGGCCCGGGGGCGTGCTGCCGCCGCGGGCCCGGCGGACAGCGGGGAGCCCCGGCCTCACGTTACCCCACCCGGCAGCCTGGGGGCCGGAAAACCGTGGACCGGCCCTGCCTGCGCCTGGCTTTCCCGAAAGACCACGCGAGGGCGCTGCGCGGGACGGGGGCCCCGGCGCTCCGCGGGCGAGGGCGCCCCCAAACCCAGGTGTCTCCGAGCCGCAAACCCCGCCCTCCGCAACTTTCGCGGGGCAGGAAGTGGGGGAAGCGGAGGCGGCGCTAGGGTCTGGGCGGCGCCGGACCGGCCACGCCCACCAATCACAGGCAGACCACGCCCACCACGCACCGCCCCCGCCGCAACAGGCCACGCCCTCCGCCCACCACCGCCCCCCCCGCCCGTGGCCGCGCCCCCTGCCGCCCCCCCCTCAGCGCTCCCGAGCAGTCCAGCCGCGGAGTCCGAGCGCCGGGCGACCGTCGTCGAGCCCGCGGGCGGGGCGAACAAAGCGGCGGCGGCGCGGGCGGCCCAGGCGCGGGGCGCGCGGAGCGAGCGACCCGCCGGGTCTTTGTCTCGGGCGGGGCCGGAGCGGCGGCCGCCGCGGGGCGCCCCGAACGCAGAATGCGGCGCCCGGCGGGGCGGATCGGGGAGCGCTGCGGCGGCGGGCGTCGTGGAGCCCGGCCTGGGGCCCGAGCGGACTTGTGTGTGTGAAGGGGGGACCCCGGCGCCGCACGTGGGCGGGAGCGGCGGCCCGCGAGGAGGAGGAGGAGGAAGAGGAGGAGGAGGAGGACGGACGCGCGGCGGCGCAGCGCGGACCCGGGGCCGCCCGCCAGAAGCCCCGCCCCGGCCGCCGAGCCCCGCGCGGGCGGACGGGCGGGATGCCCGGCGGCCGCCGCACTTTGGCCCCGGCGCAGCCCTGACCGAGCCGGGCCGGGCCGGGCGCGCGGGCGCGCGGGCGCCATGGAGCAGTGGCGGCAGTGCGGCCGCTGGCTCATCGACTGCAAGGTCCTGCCGCCCAACCACCGGGTCGTGTGGCCCTCGGCCGTGGTCTTCGACCTGGCGCAGGCGCTGCGCGACGGCGTGCTGCTGTGCCAGCTGCTGCACAACCTGGCCCCGGGCTCCGTGGACCTCAAGGACATCAACTTCCGGCCGCAGATGTCCCAGGTGAGGGTCGCCCCGCGGGGCCCGCGTGCGGGCGGAGGCTGGCGGGGCGGACGCGGGCGGCGGCGAGGACCGGGCGCGCCCGCCGACCTTCTCCCGCCGGCAGTGGCCCCCGAAGGCGCGAAGTTGCCCAGAGGTCCCGGGCCGCGCCTCCAGCCCCGCCGCCCCACGAGGGTTCCCGCCGCCCCGGCAGCCGGCCGCGCCGCCCCGGCCACCGCGTCTTGGGGTTCGCGCCCGGCGGCCGGAGCCCGCGGGGAACCGGCGAGCGCCGCGGCCGGCCCCGGGCGGGGCGGGGCGGGGCTGGGTGCGCGGTCCCCCGGGCCGGGGTTCCCCGGCGCTGCCCCCAGCCCGGTCGGGCGCTCCGGGGTGGCCTTTGTCGCGGCGGCGGCACGCGTGTGGCCGCAGGGCCGGGCAGGAAAATGTCCGCGCCGCCGGCCGGGCTGCTTTTCTTGGCCGCTCGGTCGGAACTTGGCCGTAGTTGGGCGGCGTGGGGGCTCGCGGCCAGCTCCCCGGGGTCGCGGAGCCCCCGCTCCTCCGGGAGCAGCGGCAGCCCGGCCCGCCCGCCCGCCCCACTGGACCCCGGGGAACCGGCCCCGGGAGCGGGCTTGGGCCCTGACGTCCCAGCGCCCGGCTGCGGCGGGGCCACCGCGGGGTGGACGACAAAGGAGGGGGGCTTCCTCCGGGTCGGCGGTCCCATGGGGGGCCCCTCGGGGCGGAGCGGCCGGCGGGCAGGGCCTGGGCAGGTCCTGCCGTCCTCCCCACGGGGCTGGGGAGTGCTCACCCCATTTTACAGCTGGAGAAACTGAGGGGAGGCAGGGCTGCTGTCCGCGCAGCTGGGCTTTGTGAACCGCAGGGGGTGGGGTGGAGGCTGGCAGGATTCTGGCAGGTTCGGCCGCCTGGCAGGCTGGGGCCGGCCGGGGCCCCGAGGTGGGTGGGTCAGGCTGAGTGACAGGGAGGCTGGGCGGGGCACCGCCTGGGCTGGGGCGTGGCCGGGTCCTCCCTGGGGCGCGCAGTCGTGATTTGGGCAGGATGGGAGGGGGAGGGGCCGAGGCCTGCCGCAGGCTGGGCCTGGCCCCTGTGTTGGAAGTTGGTCCGGTCACCTGGGCCCCTGGAGGGCTTGGGGAGGGGCTGGATGTCAGGGAGAATGGAGGGGGGTGAACCTCTGTGGCCACATGCTAGCTCCATTACACCATTATCTCCCAGGCAGGCTGTAGCTTTCAGGGTCTCCTCGTTTCCCCCGTGTTGGGGAATACTATGGGGTGAGAGGGTTAAGCAGAATGGAGGCCGAGGATGGAGTTGAGCAGAATAGGTTGCTGAGGAACACTGCCGTGTTCAGTCAACGTTAGTGGGTTTTGTTCATTTGTACTGATTCTGGGGCTTGAACTCAGGACCTGGCCACCGTCCCTTAGCTTTTTCCACTCAAAGTTGGTGCTCTACCACTTGAGCTACAGCTCCACTTCTGGCTTTTTGATGGTCTGCTCTTGGCAAAAAAGGATCTTATGGACTGTCCTGCTCTGGCTGGCCCTGAACTGTGCGTGATCCTTGAATCTCAGCCTCCTGAGTAGCTGAGATTACAGGCATGGGCCACCAGCATCTGGCTCAATGTGAAGGATTTTGGGAGCATCATCTCCACACTGGCTGGTGTTACCCTTTGGGACTAAGGGTCGGTGTCCTTTCCTGGAGGGCAGGCTGGCCACAGGGCCTCCCCCCTGCCCCCCTCACCAAACCTGCCTGTCTCAGGTTAGGGTGTGGTGTGCCCAGTGGCCACATCTATATTCACAAGTAAAGAAGCCACTGTCCTCACGGCTGCTGACCGGCTGGCTGTGCAGGGTGGAGGGAGGGCAGTCAGCGCCTCTGTGGGTGCTGCTCTTTGCTGTTGGCAGTCCACAATTCTTACAGGGGAGGGAGATGTCCCAGATCACAGGGAAAATGGCTACGGCCCTTTTCTTTCATGCTGCCTTGGGCTAGGCACTAGCCCCGAGTAGTACGTCACTCCCGATTCCTAGACGAGACAGTTGAGTTCAGAGTTCGTTCCTGTGACCTGGCATGGGTCACCCAGCTAGTACCCCGTGACAAGACCAGCATAGGAACTCTGGGCATGGTTTCAAAAGATCTCCCTGTCCTGGGCACTGTGCTCACACCTGTAATCCTGGCTACTCAGGAAGCTGAGATCTGAGGAAGGAGGTTTGAGTTGAGCCAGCCCTTGGCAGAAAAGTCTCTGAGACTCATCTCCAGTTAACTAGTAAAAAGCCAGAAATGGAGCTGTGGTTCAAGTGGTAGAGCACTGGCCCTGAGTGAAGAAGCCAAGCAAGAGTGTGAGGACCTGAGTTCAAGCCCCAGTACAGGCATTAAAACAACAACAACAACCAAAAAACCTCCCTGCTCCACCTTACTATCATGCTGACTTGCTGAAGGACGCTTGAGCCACATTCTTTTAACTTTGCATGGATGCATCTGTTTTCTTGGGGTGTGCCTGTCTTCCATGGGACTCCAGAATGATGAAGGCTCCCCCTTTTCCCTTTCTCCTCTCCCCCTCTAGCTGTTGTGTGTTGCCTTGCATCAGCTCACAGGCCTTTGTGATGTCCTCTTCCGGAAGACCACATGGTATCATGGTAACATCCTGTAGGTGTGCATTTATCAAGCACCTGCTCTTTCGGGAGCCAGGTACCCAAAGATGGTGGGTCACAGGAGGTCCTAGTTGCCCATTTGGTTGTACTCTCCTGAAGCGGACAGGATATACTTTATTTTATCCAAAAATGCCCGGAAGCCACCTTGGGTTTAATTAAGCTAATTAAGTATGGCCACATACTTACGGCTGATCTAAGACGGGGACCCAGAGCAGTGGCAGCAGCTGTGGTTGAGAAGCCCCAAGGGGGCTGTGCCGCACACAGCCCGTGTGTTTGCTCTGCTGCAGCCCCTCTAAAAGACACCCAGCTCTGTCACACTCACATTGCCAGGGCCCCACCTCCTCGCCGGGACAGCAGTGTCCTGTCTGCAGGGAGGACCCAGCATGCACAAGACTGGGGACACAGGCCACCAGGGTTTGCCCCTGCCCCAGCATCATTCCCTCTGCTCGCTGCCTTTCTCCGCCCTTTCTCGGTGTCTTTTCCCTCACGCCCATCCTGTGCTGTGCCCTTGTGGGAAGCACCACCTCCTTCCAGCCTTGTTGGCCCTAGCAGAGCTAGGGTAGGGGCGCCTCCTCCAAGAAGCCTCCTCTGATTGCCTTTTTTTTTTTTTTGGTCGGTCATGGGGCTTGAACTCTGGGCCTGGGCGCTGTCCCTCAGCTCTTCAGCTCAAGGCAAGCGCTCTACCGCTTGAGCCACAGCGCCACTTCTGGTTTTCTAGTGGTTTATTGGAGATAAGATTCTCACCTACTTTCCTTGCCCAGGCTGACTTTGAACCGTGATCCTCAGATCTCAGCCTCCTGAGTAGCTAGGATGACAGGCGTGAGCCACCGGCACCCACCGGCACCCGGTTTCTGATTGCCTTCTGTCTTCAGACATTCGGATCCCAGGCCCTGGGTAGATTGAGAGCAGGAAGGATCTCCCTACCCTAGTGTGTTTTGGGGTCCTCCGGGATGTGAGTCCCTTGTTTCTGCCAGGGCTGCATTATCTCTGGGCTCTTCAAGTGTGCCTCCCCCACCCTCTGCATGGGATGCCGGGAAGTTTGGTTTATTTCTTCAGGGACTAACTTCGAAGCCCTGGCTCCCTGAGGAGGGGCAGGTAGGGGCCAGCCGGAAGTCTTGAGCGAGTGACATGTTCACTGAGAAAGTCGTCATTTGATACCCAAAGAGTTCCCAAGTGCATGCAGGAGGGACCGGGCACCAGCGGCTCACGCCTGTAATTCTAGACACTCAGGAGGCTGAGATCTGAGCATTGCAGTTAGAAGCCAGCCCAGGCACCAAAGTCAGCAAAAATAGCCCAAAGTTGAGCTGTGGCTCAAGTGGTAGGGCACTAGCTTTGAGCAAAAAATGCTAAGGGATAGGCCTCAGGCCCTGAGTTCAAGCCCTGGTACCGGCGCACACACAAAAGAATAAAACCTAAAACAGAACAACAGCAAAACCAGGAAGGTAATGCGGGGAGAGCGAGCCCCAGCAACATAGAAAGGCAAGCTGCTTCTCAGAGAAAAGGGGAAGCTCTTTTTTGGTAAGACTTAGGGCAATGTGTTTTTGGAGACTTTGGCTTTGTGCTGTTTCCTACAAACAAAGGCGCTCTCCGCTGTAAGCCCAGCCACCTGAGCTGCTGGCAGCAGGGCGGGTGGTCTGCCCCGGTGTCCACAGCCCCAGGCCAGGGCCTTCCAGCAACCTGGGAGCCTCAGCTGCCCCGCTCGCTTCCCCGGGCCTCGTGCAGTGTGAGTGTACAGTCTTGCTCTGATTTTCCCGGCCACTATGATTTGGAAGGTGGTACACAGCACCCCCCCATTGGGGTTCATCTGTCTGGCCGTGATTGCACCCATCTGTGAGGGGAGGTGTGCTCCCCGTCCTCCTCCTCCTCCCATTCGGGCTGCTGGGGCAGGGGACAGGACCTGGAGTTGAATGCGGGGTTGAGATGGAGTTGAGATGGGGTTGGTGGGTTTCTCCCCCATAGTTAGTTTCTCTTTGCAGGTACAGATTTAAAAGGAGATTTTCTCCCATTCTCCCCGTCTCCTGTTTTTCCTCTCTCTCTCTCCCCCCTCTCCTCCCTCTCTCTCTCACTTCTTCTCTTCCCCCTCCCTTTCCCCCTCTCTTCCTCTCCCTTCTTTTCTCCCTCTCCTCCCTCTCCCTCCCTTCTCCCCCCCCTCAGTTGGGGTCCCGTTTCCTCTTCATTGCTGCATTATGATCGCGTTCCTTCATTATTTACATTGGCACTGCATTGTCTCAGGGTGGACAGTGGGAAGTGTTCCAGGCGGGTGGCCTTCGTTCTGGCATATTCCAAGTCACTCTGGGAGCATTGCTGATTTTTGACACCAGGCAGCCCGGCTTCTCTGTGTTTTCTTTGTCCTAGTTGGGGAATCACCTGTTTCTC